CCGGTCGGTGCGCGGTGAACAGGAGAAGGGAAAGGCTGCAATATAAACCTGTCGCCGACGGCGAACGAGATTGCTTCCAACTTCCATGGGTCATGCATCATACGTGTTGGACTATGATGTCCACATCGTCCCACATGGCTGACGGGCGAGACGGGGCGAACGCTCGAGGCAGGCAGCTGGAGACTATACAGACTGCATCACGCAGTTCATGGTTCAACAAAGTTGGACAGTCTACGGAGAGTCTCCGCTTACATGTCCATTGAATCGCCTCCGTTGGCAAAGTTGAAGTTTTGCTGTTGTTGCTGAGCAGCGGGAGCGCCGAAGCCAAAGTGACCTTCTTGATTGACCTGGGGGCCGGCCTCGCCCATGTTTTCCGCCTCACCCTCCTCATCGGAGAAGTATTTCTCGATAATGTTGTAGGCCTTCATGTAAATCTCCTCATTGGCGTTGTTCTGGCACTCGTGGATCTTCTCCATACCGCCAACCTCCTCAATGAAGAGGGCGTAGCGGTTGATAGCCTCGCCAGCAGCACCGCCTTCGTTGGCCTCCTTGTCCATCTCGCCGACCTTGAGGATGTTCTCCAGACCGTCGAGCGCGACTTGAATGATCTTGTTGTCAGGGCACGCAAGCAAGTCGCAGAGGGGCTTGATGCAGCCGTGCTGGACCAAGTAGCGGATCTGGGCTGGCTTCTGAAGACCTCCACTGGTCGCGTTGGAGATGGCCCAACAGGCCTCCTTCCTGGTCTTGAAGTCGCCGTTCTGGAGGAGGTGAATCAGCGGTGGGATGATGTTCGCATCGATGACCGCCTGGATCTGGGTAGAGTTGCCGGCAGTAATGTTGGAGATGGTCCAGCACGCCTCCTTGCGAATACCATCCTTAGTGGAGCTCAAGAGGGAGAGCAGAGCCGGGAGTGCGCCGCAGTTGATGATGACCTGGGTTTGGACGTCATCGCCCGTAACAATGTTGCCGACGGAGCGCAGAGCGGGGGTCTGGACAGAGGTGGAGGCATGCATGAGGAGCTCCACAAGGCGGCGGGGGATGCCGGCCTCGATGACGGCCTGGATCTTGTCGTTGGAGCCATCGGACAGGTAAGAAATGGCCCAACAGGCGTCGATGAGGACCTCGTCGTCGAGCGAGTAGACGAGCTTGGCCAGGACGGGGAGGGCGGGCTGAATCTGCTGGTCACTTAGCACGTCTGGTCACGTCCATGTCACATCACGTCATAGGAAATGGATGAAGGGGTGTAGGGCAAGCTTACCGTCTGCCAGTCGGGCTGCGGGGTCTTTCCACGGCAGAAGTTGCTCAGGGTCCAGGTCGCATTCCTGAGCATGCTCAGCTTGCGGCTGTCACCAAGCAGGGCCAGCAGTGGACGGAGGGCGCCGGCCTGCAGGACAAAGTCGCGGCAGGCAGGGCTGTCACCGGCGATGTTACCCAGTGCCCAAACGGCCTGCTCCCGCACGTCGGGCTCGTGGCTGCTGAGGAGCTCGACGAAGATGGGCACCGCGCCCGCCTCGATGACGACCTGTGTCTGCTGCGCTGATCCAGAGGCGATGTTTGTGAGTGCCCATGCCGCCTCGAACTGGACGAGCGTGTGTGGCGAGCGCAGGAACTCAACAAACCGGCTGACGACGCCCGTCTCAATCACGCGCTCGATGGGTGGGTTGCGCTCCTTGGACAACAGCTTGCGGAACTTGGTCGTGGCTTGAATCTGCTCGTCAATCTGCTCCGAGAAGACGCCCTTGACCATCTGGGGGAGCTCTTCGTTCAGCTGTCATGGCGCATGTCAGTCAGCCCAGTCTTCTGTTGTGTACGTGCGCGTGCTGCTGGGTGTGGGAGCAGCACAGCTTGGTGGGGTTATCTACTACACACCTGGCCTTCAATGTTGCCGCCCTCATCGTCGCTGTCGGGGGCAGCGCCCAATGCAGCACCTGGCTGGTCTCTTCCTGCAATACCACGGCGCTTGGCAAGGTTCTCCTCGCGCTTTGCCCGGCGGATCTCGACTTGCTGTTCCTCGCGGCGGCGGCGGAGTTCGTCTGGCTTGAAGGCGCTCTTTGCCTTGAACGCAGTGCGGCGGTGCTCCGGGATGAACTTGTCGGCCATGGCTGTGGCGACTTGTTGTATGTGTGTATGTGGGTGTAGGTGTAGGTGTGTATATGTGTGAATGTGGATGGTTGTGTGCGTGGGGGAGGGAGGGGAGAGGAGAACGAGAGGAGGGGGGGGGTGGTGTGTGTGCGGGTGTTTGTTTGGGAGGGGGATTTATCTTTCTCTCCGTCGTGGGTGCAGAGAGTGGGGCAGGGGATGTGAAAAGGCGGAAGCGGCGAAGCGCAACATAGGCCGGCCTGACTTTGGGTCCTAGCGCCCAACCACCTTAGTAACCTTTTGTACTCGATGTGGCCGAGCGCGTCTGTTCTACCAAAGGTATCTATCTTACCACCTGAACAAACTTACCAGAACTGGACCTGACAGGCTTGTTGCACATCTGTCAACAGTGTCTTGATGCCTCACCCACACCAGCACACACCCTCTCTCGTCTCTGCTAACGCTGGCAAATGAATTGCTCTCTTCAACCAACTAGCCAACAACACTAGAACGTGTTTGCAAACAAACCCACACTTTCTTTCTTGGGCACGCGTCTTGCAGGCCATCGCAAGCCAACACCGCTAGCCGCATCGAGACGCACAAATGCGGCCACCTGTGGGCTTTACAGCGATCAAGGACGTTTCGGAAAACCAGGCCAAGGTGAATCTGATTGGAGTCATCGTAGAATTCAAGCCGCCCAGGCCAACTCGAGGATCGGACTCTTGCCTGGAATTTACCATTCAAGATGAGTTCGATAGCTTCACTACTGGTTCCTCGAGCATCCTCTGTCGCATGTTCAGGCCGGCTGACAAGCTGCCTAAAATTTCCAGTACGGGAGACGTCGTCGTCATACGCAACTTCAAATTGAATAAATGGGGTCTGCGCATCGATTGCGTTGCTGATAGTGCTTCATTCTGCCCCGTTTTCGTCTTCCGCAAGGATCGCATTCCAGTTCCACAACTGAGCCAGCCTTACGAAGCTGGCAATAAGCGTCTCCCCTATGAAGCCATCTACAGCACGACTGAGCCTACAAGGGTAGAGCAAATCGCGGTCATTAATATGAACGCGGCTGCCTCTGGCTCGGTACAACCAGTCCAGCAGCGCAACAGTGCCTCCTCTTCGTTCAATGCTTTGCCACCCCAGAAGCTACAGTTGATTAAAGATCTCAATTTCAATCTCTTTTACGATGTTCGAGCGCAGGTCTTGAACATATATTACACTAATATGGGCACTGTCGATCTGAAGATTACCGATTATACTGAGAACGAGCAGCTCTTCTACTACGCAGATCCCAAGTCGGACGATGCACACATGGTCCAAAATAGTAATTGGACGGGGCCTTTTGGTCACTTCACCATGAACGTCCTCCTATTTGAGAGCAACGCTGCTTGGGCACGCGAGAATGTGGCCGTGGGCGATTACATTTATTTGAGGAACTTGCGGACCAAAATGTCCCCTGCCAACAAGTTGGAAGGGATAATGCATCAGGACAGACAGCGGCCAACGCAAGTGGATATTTACAAATTGTCAAATCCAGCCGAAATTGCTGAGATCGAGGCTCGGCGCAAGGCTTATGAGGAGAAGCGAGGCACAAAGTCTGCATTCGAGGCCCTCAAGGACACCCGAACTGAGCCAGCCGCGAAGGGAAAGAAGGCAGAGAAGCGGAAGAGGCAACAGGAAATGAAAGAGGCGGAATTGAGAGAGTTGGAAGAGAAACAGGCTAAGATTGAAGCAGAGCGCAATGGGGTCAACCACAATGGTGAGGCGGCTACTCACGTTGGCATAATTGTACTAAACACGTGTAGTTCGTGCTTCCTTCCCAGAGATAAAGCCCTCCACAATATCTGAAATCCTTTGTAATCCTTCCCTTCAAGCAACTACCGCGAATCACGAGGAATTTCTCCTTCCATTCGTCAACAGCCGGCATCGAGCCCGCGTGAGGGTGGTCGATGTCTATCCCCCGGAACTTGAACTCTTCTCGCATTCGACCAGGGATCGCAATTGGTATCAAGGACGAGGTAAGAGCAATCCAAGCAGTGGCCAGAGGAAGGAACGCTGGGAATGGGGCTTTGTCCTCCTAGTCGAAGATGCTGTCCTGCCGCCAAATACAGTCTCGGAAAAGATGCGTTTAGTAGTCGGGAATAAGGAGGCACAAGGTCTCCTCAATATCAAACAAAATGCGCAAGAGTAAGTACTTTACAGTGTTGATTCGACAGTGTATTGATTATTTGCAGTCTGAAGAAGAACCCAGGTTTGCTACAACAGCTGGAAGAGAGGCTCTTCATCCTATGGGGCAATTTAATGGAGCTCAAGACCGAAATGAGACTCAAGGGCTCTGATCTGCCCCTCCCCCCTGGTGACAATAGGTTACAGAATAAGCCGTTCGACTGCTGCATCGAAGAATATGGCCATGAAGTTCCCATCAGCGACCTGAATCCATTGGGATTTCAGCGCATGTTCAGGCTTGTCCACACCGTCATCAGTTCCTGACAGAACACTTTTGAGAGCAATGGCCGACTGGATCAAAGCCCCGAGGCTTGGATAGTCAAGTGCTCATTGATGCAAAACGTCTTGCGGTATTTGTTTTTGAGGTTCTATCCAGGGAAGGTAAGGGATGCACAGTTGGTAGCCGTGGTTGGTCGTTATCACATGTCAAGCTGATCACGCACATTTAGCGATATACACTTAGCGGGGATGACTCATTTGGGAAAGGATACGTTGGAAGTTTTGGACGTCTGAATAAGGTTTGGCCATGAAGCGCTCTAGGAAGATGCGGCATGAGCCATTGCGTCAAGGGCAATCGAGTATTGCGACGCTTCGCAAACCATGCACACGCCACGGGCTCAATCATGTGTACATACTAGTGGCTCACCGTCATGCTGATAGTGTGGGGGACGCGGTGTTTGTTTTAGGAGCCATTGTGGAAGAGTGACTAAAATGGCGTTTTTGTGTGGATTGCGTGCTTGACGGATTGCGTGATGTTGCGCACGGCGATCAAAGTATACATTAACTTCCGAAACTAAACAAAAAAATGTACCATTACTTATGAAGACATCGTGAGAACTGAAACGAACTAGAAGAGTACTTGTAAGTGGTATAGTGCAGCCAGATTTCCCTGGTCCTGTTGAAGCGACACAGACACTGGATACTAAAGCCGGGATATAGGTCCTGTTACGAGAGACGAGCCATCGCCTCACTATACAAGCGATTACATTAATGGCAACTGCTACTCAATAGAGAATATCATGGAAGTACTGACTATGGCACCCAATCTACTCGAATCGGCTACCCAGCCCACGACCACCGCCAGCAATATCTTCCCAACCGCGATACCATCCTCAAAACAGCCAGCAAACACCACCACAACCGAGATCTCGCCCTCAACAATCACACCTACCACCTCACCTCCAAACACCAACACACTAGTCCTCGACCCCTCCCTCATCACCAACGACATCGACCGCCTACGCTTCGAAGCCGCAGCCTACACCCAGCTCCCCAAGCCCTTTTCGCCCAACCACCCCTCCCCCAATTCCTCCCCACCCCCCTCCTCCACAGACCTCATCTCCTCCCCCTACAATAACCCAGGCCACTACCTCTCACTCCCCACGCTCCCCCTCCCCTCCATCCTCCTCGCAAAAGCCCTCACCGCCCTGCACCCCACAGTCCCACACTACGCAACTGCGCACTACACTTCCGCGCTGAACTTTCCACACGTCCTCGCCGTGCTACGGGACCTGCTGCACAGCGAGCAGCAGGCAAGGGGATCATGGCAGCGAACGTCATTTTACGTCGTTGTGTTTCGGAGCAAGTTGAAGACTGGGGTGGATGTGGAGTGGTTGTATAAATTGGATTACGAGAGTCATGCTGAGGCGTGTGCGAGTGGGGGGTTGTTGAAGTATTGGTTTGGGAAGGCGGATGGGGAAGGTAGGAATTTGGCTACTTGTATGTGTTTTTTTCCCTTTCGTTGCCTTTTTCTTCTACATACTACTCGTGCTGTTTTCCCTATCACACACGCCCATTCTGTGAACAGTACTTCGAGACTCTCCAAAGGGTTTTTGTTCAGCGAAATGTTGAACTAACGGATGTGATGAGCAGGCTTCTGGCACTCCCGCGCCGACGCGGTGCAAGGTGGTCTGGGGCCCTGGCATAAGAAGGCCAGAGCGGCGGGACGCGAATTGTATGAGAGTATTGTGTTTTCGACGCATAGGTTTACGATTCTGGATGGGGCGGAGGAGTTTGAGTTTGAGGACTGGAGAGAGTAAAGAGTAGGGGGGGGGGAGTGGAAAGGTGACGGTACCCGCATGGGGTCTGAAAGGTGAGGGCATCCTATGGGCGTTTTGGCATTGTGGATTATGTGGATTAAGAAGGACTTAAGGAAATATAGATTTGGTATCTGGATTTGTATTAGGAGAGCAATTAGGAGATTTCTGACCTTGATGGGAGGTATGAAATGTTGTCTGTGCAATCATAGACGTGTCTCTCGAGCAGCTTGATTCGAGAAGCATCCTGCATTTTCGAAGTTGTGATTCACTCATTGGCCCTGGTCGACTCACCATGTCCATGTACACGTGATATACTACGTATCTGTGTGAATCCAGTTGATGATGATCAAATGTACAGCAATGAAATTGTTCCAAGTGATCTATGCCATGCCCTACTATACAGCGCAAGTTTTGCATGCCATGCCGAGTTCGAATTACAGTAATCCCATCCATCTACTCGCTTCGATCTTGTCAGGCCTCCTTCATGGTCGAACAACGCGGAGACCGTCCTTTGATGGTGCTGCTGCGCGCTTGAATGACTACACTCCGTCAGCATGTTGGCAGGATTGATTTCTGCATAGTTTACTCACGTTGTCACACTCTTCCCATGCCCGTCCCGCACCAAAACCGAGACCAACGAAGGCAGGCCATGCGCGACGCTTGAAGAGGAGAACGGAGAAGACGATACCGAATGAGACACCGAGGCCGGAGCGGATGAGCATGGAAGAAAGGCAGCGGTCCCACTACGAGTATTTGTTAGCATCCGCCATTGCACTGTCACATGTAGGAGTTGTCTGCGCAAGCCATCCAAAGCCAGGACAGGGCACGAATGAAGCAGAGCTGTCACAAGCCAATCAATTGCCCGGTTTTCCAAAATCAAACTATATCTGCAAACTGGGATGAGTGTACCTTCTCGTTGAGGAGAGCTTCGCTCATCGGGCGGGTGGTCCGCGGAATCGGCGCAACCGGCTGGGGGTTTTGTTGGTCGGCCATATTGAAGGGATGTGAGGGTGCAATTGATCGATTCGGCGAGGGCACTCGATGTGCGAGGGGTGCTTAGGAGCGGCTTTGGCGTGGTGTTGATGCTCGTCTTTCGATGTCTGAGCGGAACTTTGACGTGCTCCCGGCCGGCAGCCCTTGGCAGATGCGACAGGGGTCTTCCAAGGTTCCCAGCGAACGTAGCTCCTGGCCCGAGCTCAATTTTTTTCCAATGCTAGTGCTTCTCTCCCATTTGCGCAGACTTCGCAACTACGGCGTAAGAGAGGTGACAAGATGGCGCCGATTGAGCAGGTAAGATATACATATATTTATAATGTAGCGGCGACATGTAGTTAATCAATGCTAGACATCGAGCACCGACTCAATCTCAACTCGACCGCGACTGCAAGCCATCAATCAGGACTTCTCGGACTTGGACGAGCAGATTCACCAAGCTGCTCGTATAATAGGCCTTCCGGGAGACTGGAATACCATAAAAGACCAAGATGCCCGTGCTGGGGTTATAAGGCACATTGTCCGAGCTAGAGCAGAATGGGTTTTGCGCTGGGTACTCGATAAGCTCAAGGAGGAGACGGATGCAGGGCGCAAGGCACGAGCGCATCCAGAGACATGGCAGCTTCTCGATTGGATGATACATGTTCTGCCTGTCTCGCGCAGTGCCCCACATTTGCGCGATGCCAGTCTGCCAACCATCCTCGAGAGGGCTCTATTCGAGCGCCTCGACAGCAGTTCGAACACTCAATCCGAAGACGTACATATGGAAGACGCATCAGACTCAAGCAGCGACCCGGCCCGGATTGGTTTCAAGCAATCGCGTAAACGAAAACGAGGAGCAAATGGCACTACTTCGATCCCGTCAGTCAGCCAAGAGACTGACCTCAACACTCTGTTCCCTGCTATAAGAGCTGTCGCAGCCACAATCATCTCTCTAGCTTCGAGAAACGACAAGGCCCAGGACATTACTCAAGCAGAGCTTATGAAAATGGTACTTAGGACAGAATCTGCACAAGCTGCCAGGATCCTCAGATTTTGGTTGGAAAGCGTTACTCAACTTCTATCAGCCAAGTCGCTCAACTCATCCGATGTCGACGACACTCTGGACTTGTCCTTGATAGTTGAAGTGTGGGATGTTCGGATTATAGACTCGAAAGACGAAGTAGGAGTATCTGCAGACGAGTTTAGCACCGAGTGTCTTATACCTACCCTTACCCTGCTCGAGACCCTGGGCAGCCTCCGTGGGCAAACTTCGCCGCAGATCTCTCCTACCACCATTGATCGCGCCACGCAAAAACTTGACCGGTTACTGGCAAAGCACATACTGGCGCCATCAAGGGCCGCGTTCTTCGCGGACGTTACTGAAGACCCTGCGAAGCCTGCTTCAGAACGCGAACCGAAAGCACTTTTAAGTCATCTCGAACCTCTCCGCGCAAAGCTTTTACAGGCTGCACAGATCGAAGATGCTGGCGAATCATTACCGGCGGAACTTGCAGTGCTCTTCCATTCTCTTTCGACCTTGTTAGATTTGGCCATACGTGCGTCTCCCTCCAGATCACCAAAAGGCAGGCTTGCAGAGAAGCCTTGGATCCAAGCGACATTTTCGGCACTTGCTGCATGTGCCAGATGCTCTCTAGACACTCCACCAGAATTCGTCATGCGCGAGTCTGCGGTCGGAGCATTGGATGGTGCACTTCAGGTCTTGCATGCGCACAATGTCAGCATCAACCCCAAGCTCGTGGAGATTATCTTTTGGTACTATGGTGGTGTCAAATACCCAGAACGTCAAGAAAAAAAGATACATTGGCCACTAATCGCGTCATTGATCAAGCTCGATGCCTCGGTTTTCGTAGCAGAACCCAAGACTAGCATCAAGATTTCGCCGGATAAGAATCACGCTGACCTTGCCGAGTTCATCTTCGAGCGTATCTCGGTCGAGGAGATTAAGCATCCTAACTTCACTCCTAGTTCACTCCGAGCCCAGATCAAATCACATCAAGATGAGGAACCGAAATTTGCCGGAAAAGCTTTGATTATAGAGCAAATCATCACTCCCTTGATGTCAGCTTTCGTACGGAACCGAAATCTGCTTGGGTTTATGCGCAGGTGGGATCAACAATTGGTGAGGGTTCACCGGCACGAGACCCAGAAGATTCTCAAAAAGCGTCAGGAACATATTTGGGAAGATCGAGCCCTGAGTAAGGCTTTAGGGGAGATTTTCGAACAGTCTTTGACACAGGGTCAAATATCCACTCTGGTTGAAGAGCATGCACAACGAGTCGCTAAGCTAGGCGAGACCATTGCAAATGGAAAAAATGAGGATGTCGACGTCAAGAAACTCGCTGGCTACAGATACGCTGCTAGCAGCGCAGTTATAGTACCCACTATCCTAGAAGCAGTCCGGACTGACGAAACTATTATGGCCCTGCGACCACATCTGGATAGTCTATTCCGCTCCTTCACGACATGGGTGCAAGATGACAGATTCAGCCTACATTCGCAAGTGTCCCACTCTTGGTTCACGTTGAGCCAGCTCCTAGCTAAATTATGGCCTATCGAGCTACACACGTCTCCGAACCTACAAGCGGAGTTGCTCGAACCCCTTATTCCAAGCGCGCTTGATGACATCTCTGGAACCCGTTCTGGGAGTTCTAAGAGGCGTATCGACTCTTCTGCGCAGGCTGCAGCCATGTTGTTCCTACTCAACGTCTGTACATACATGCAGAAAGTACCGGACTTCGATGCCGTCATCCAAGCGACGTTGAGCAGGATTACAACTACCCTATCCGGCAAGCAACTGGATGCACCAGAACATGCTAAGGCCATTGAGTTCTTTTGCACTTATTTCATCGGACTGTTCGGATACCTTGATGCATCGGAATGCGTGGAATTACTGCAGTCAGTACTTTCAATGCTGGCAAAGGTCGATGACAGGGTTCAAAGCAATTTGCTCAACTCCTTGTCTCATTCCATCATTAATGAAGGCAACGCTTCTCTGAAGAAAGCGTATTACTCTACACTCGCAAATTCGCTTTCGAAGAGCGATGGCAAACAACAAGAACTAGCTGTCAAAGCCATGTCGTACATCCACCCAGCGGCGTTCTCGCGTGAACAACGAGAGGCGATCTTGAATCAAGTCATCGACTTGATCTGTAACAACTCAAGCACCTCGACAGGGTTCATGAGTATCGCAACGCATCTCATGGAAACTCCAAATGCGACGGCCAAAATTTCTACCGACAGTAGTGTCATTTTTGAGGTCGCAGAGAGACTCCATCAGCATGGAAACGAGTCACCTGCGAGCTTGCAACTACTCAGGCAATTAGTCGAGTCAATTCTGGTTCACATGATTCCAAATGAGAAGCAGTCTCAGAACAAAACTTTTCTCAAGGGTTTTGCTGAGAAGGTCGATCAGATTGCTACGGCTTCAAAGAAGTGCTCTGCTGCGAGGCTGTCTATCCTTCGAGCTACGATACATGCACAGAAGCAAAGCAAGCTCCTAGACCCACTGCAGTATGTCGAATTATTAAAGCATTGTCTTACCGATGGCGATGGTGATGAAACTGCTTCACTTCAGGAGATACTAGACGCCTTCAACGACCTCCCTTCTGCCACTCTACAGGCACTCAACATCTACGACACTACCCGAGCGTGGCTACGCATCTGGGTCAATGACAACAGCGATTTGGACTCTTACATTGCCTCTTCTGGCGAGAGCTCTACCGAGTTGGCCAAGTACGTGGCACGATTACACACGACCGTTGCAAGGTTCAGATTGTACCCCAAAGTAACCTGGTTCATGAGCTTGACGTTAAGAATCCTCCGCGAACCACTGACCGACGGCGTCAAAGCCAGCACCTACGACGCTGTAAAGGACGCTCTTACATCTCTCCCGTTGGCAGAGAAGCTCGATCTGATCCCCAGCCTTACCCATGCCACCGACCCCCTCGACCGCGCATCCTCCCATCGCATATTCAGCATCCTCATCACTACCCTCCCCGACAAGCTCGACCCGAACCCCGACCTCAAGCAACAGCAACTCGCCCTCCTCCCACGCATCAGCATCCTCCTTGCCCAAACCTCAGACAACCCCTCTTTCAACGCCCTCCTCAACAGCATCAACACCATCCTCACCGACAAGCCCGCCCTCGCCTCCCAACACAGCATCGAATCCGTCCTCGCCGTCCTCGTCAAACTCACCTCCCGAAGCAGTCCCCCGCTCCCCACCTCCCACGCCCCAGAAATATACTCCCGCCTATGCGAAACAACACGCTTGATCCTCTTGCTACACCGCGGCCGTATCGGAGGCCGTTTCCACATCCTCCTCCCCTTGCTACAGGGTCTTTTATTCTGCCTCTTCATACCAAACACACCCCGCACCGGCGCCCTACCCTACTGGCTACGCTCCCTACCTCCCCGCTCCAACCCTTCCTCAACACACCACCCAATAAATCACCCCCCCACCCACCTCACCCCTCAAAACGCAACACACTTCTCCCGCCTCCTCTCCACCCTCGTTAACCCCCCACAGTCGTCCATTTCAAAATCAAACACCCAGACTTCCTCCCTCACCGATCCCCTCAAAATCGCCCGCGATCGCACCGCCGCGTTCCTATACCCTTTGCTCACGGCTTATTGTCGCTTTCAGCTCAGTGGGAGATTGGAGGCCTCGGTGCGGGAGAAGTTGGCGCCGGGGTGGGCAGAGGTGTTGGGGACGGCGGCGCTGCGGAGGGAGGGGCTTGCGGCTATGTTTGCCGGGTTGGGGCGGAGTGAGAGGGATGTTTGGAGGGGGGTGTGGGGGGAGTGGGAGGCGGGGAGGGGGAGGGGGATTGGTGTCTAGAATGGTTGGATGGAGGTGGATCATGGGTAGAGAGATTTACAATTCGGTGTTTGGGATTTCCATGACGGATTTTGTTCTAGTCATGAAAAAAAAGCCCAATTATGTCGATGATGGACGGAATATGTTTTGTTAGGAAGAAAAGGGTTAAAAATATAATCTGTTTGACTCATTCACTATTTATCTGGTGGCTCTAATCTCGTACTAGAGACATAGCCAGTAAGTGTGATCATACAAAGGCTTGTCCTTTGGACGCATCATCCACTCGAGCAAGTGACGCAGAAGCCAGAAAGACGGCCGTCATCCGCAAAATAACCCATTTCCAGTCCAGGATTCCTACCAGTACCTAGTCACCGGCGCAAAGGACTACAAGACAGACTATCAGGACTAGTAGTACTAGTACCTGTTGCCTCCCTGAGGCGGCTGCCCATACTGCTGCTGGCCCGGGTATCCACCAGGTGCACCGCCCTGCGGCGGTGGGGGTCCACCGTACTGTTGACCTGGAGGTGGGTACTGTCCCTGTGGCGCACCGTACTGGCCTGGTGGAGGGTGCTGGCCATAGCCTCCCTGTTGTGGCGGACCACCGTATTGACCCGGAGGCGGCTGCTGGCCATAGCCCTGCTGAGGAGGACCGCCATACTGGCCGCCGGGAGGAGCACCATAGCCGCCTGGGGCGTGGTTGGACTTTTCGTCCTTGGAGTCGTAGCTGCGGTCAATGGCGCCGAGGAGGAGCTTGATGATCCACAAGTCTGGAGTCAGGTCGACAGGGGGGTTTGCGCGCATCATTTCTTCCTGCTCGTTTTCAAAGTCTAGATATTGTCAGCGAGTTGTTCAGCGCAAAAGACAAAGGACCAAAGAATCTTACTGGAAGTACAGTCCACCATGGGACCAATCTGCGGATCCTCATCAAGCTTGCTGAGGAACTTGCGCGCCATCTCGTCGTTTCCGACTTGGGCAAATTCAAACGCAACACCACCGCGGCCGTACTGAGGGAAGCGCTGCTGCAGCGTGTCGAACGCGTAACGGATGGTGTCGAAAACGGCGTTTTGTGGCTCACCAGCTGGTTGACCGTCTGTGATGGCAATGACTAGGACGGGCTTGCGCAGCTGACCAGCAGAAGCCTTCTGGAGTACTATCTCATCGATGACCTTCTTACGGAGGGAAGTACCCATGGGAGTAAGACCCTTGAACTGAACACCGCGCATGACTTCTTCAATCTGAGTCTCGTTTGCAACGCCGTCCTGCAGAGCGCGGCCTTGCTGATTACGTATGCCAGACAGGTCGGTGTTCATGAAGCGGATGGAAATGCCATCGGCATCGAAGAGGGTGGCGGCGAACGACACACGCTCCAAGATGAGGCGCAAATCCTTGATGCGGCTACCTTCTTCCTCGAATTGCATGGAACCACTGTCATCTTGGACGGCTTAGCTTTTGCAAAGAACTCTTGAGAGCCTAATACGCACCGATATACAAAACAATGTCGTAGAGCGCTAGCTTGACGATGTCGTTGGCAATCTCCTTCTGCACTCGCCAGCGTTGAATGACCTCGTTCACCTTTGGCGCAGCCTGTTGCGCAATCTGATCAATGATGGGCGAGTTTGGTGGGTAGAAGGTCTGGAGGCCCTTCTCTTGGATGCAAGCGTTGAGCAGCTGCTTGTAACCGGCGACTTCTGCAGGACCTTGTTGTACTTGTTGCAGAGGTGGAGGGCCGCCGTAGCCGCCTCCTTGGGGTGGCGGTGCGCCATATTGTTGGCCTTGAGGAGGTTGCCCTGGTGGGCCGCCCTATTGAATAGTTAGTACCTCGTTCTTGCCACTTGCTGCATTGCTCTGCGTCGCATCTCGTTTGACAATTGTTCCAGAGGCGCAAACAGTCTGCGGAATACGAACATAGGCTGGCGCTTGGCCATAAGGCTGTCCATACGACTGCGGGGGCTGTTGCCCATACTGCTGAGGTGGTTGCTGTCCCCAGTTATTTGGCGGTGGATACTGGGGTGACAATGGGGCTTGTCCTGGATAGGGAGATTGTGGTGCCTGTGCTACCTGTGGTGACTGGGGATAAGGCGACTGAGGCGGTTGTCCTGGAGGTGGTGGAGGAGGCGGCCTATTGTAACCTGGCTGGCCCTGGGGTGAGTATGGCGATGGTGCGCCGTAGTTTTGGGGTTGTTGATATGGTGAATGTGGGGGCGGTTGTGAACCGGGACGTAGTGGCATAGGAGGAGGAGGAGGAGCTGATTGTTGGTGCGCATAAGGATTCGGTGCCTGGCCTTGGGGTGGCTGATAGGCGTTGTAGGCCGACGACATCTTGCTTGATAGAGGCATGCTGTGGCTAAAGCGCGAGTGAAGTGTGGCGAGGGGGCAGTCGAAGCGTAGTAACCAGGCGGCGGGGTAGTTGGTTGCTATGTAGTATGTAGGGGGCGCAAAGCAAGGTGGCCAAGGACTCAGGAGTGTGTGGAGACGCGTCAAGTGTTGTGCGAGTCCAGTCACAAGGTGGCGGGTCCTTGAAGAAGGGCGATGACGATTGACCCAGAGCACAGCAGCGTTCTACCGGTCAGAAAAAGGAAGAAAGAGGTTTTCACTCACTGCGGGTGGACCGGCACCAGGTGGTGGCGCACTGCCTGGATAGGCTTGATACTGCTGCTGGCCGGGCTGGAGGAGGCAATGAAATTAGCAAAAGGCTTGTGTAGGAGTACTCAGTCGACCATGACAGCTGATGACATACATAGGCAGATTGACCACCTGGTGGAGGGTAACCACCGGCGGACGCGTTGGCTGCGGCCATCTTGGATGCGAGCTACAGCCAGTCAGTTGCCAAGTCAGGCCGATGACGCATGCGCGGGGTAGGCAAGTATGTATGGGAGGGGCACAGGCTGGCAGACAAAGGGGGACGACAACATACACCCATTTTGAAGTTTGAAGACTGGGGGCGGGTGTTCTGGCGATCGAGAGAATGTGTGTTGTTGTTTCCCCAAGGCGGTGAGAGAGTTCTGACAAGGCTGGTGGTGTTGACTGTTCTTCGTCAGAAAATGAGGATGGGTACCGGTATGTGGGGAAGAAAGCTGACAGATGAAATAGCCGATGGCCGTGAAATGAATAGCTAACAGTAAAGCAGCTGAGGGTGATGACAGCGGCCGCCCTGACCGGTGTCGGTACCGTACTCTAGCTGAACACAGCCCCGGTGGAGAGAGGGTGGCTAGAGAACTACACTGCACTGCCCTCGTGCATCTTCATTGGTTGGCCGAGTGTGACTGTGTTGTCATGGTGGGGTACGGCAACTCTTGTGGTTGAGGCTGAGCTTATGTCTATGTAGCCCGTCTACTATAGAACTTGGTAACTATCTTCTTCATCAAGTGCGCCATATGCGTAGTACAAGTACAATGGTCTACTACTAGCAGTACTGTCATTTCCATTTCATGACACGGCCCAGCGAACGAGCGGGGCAACGCAACATTGAATCATCCTGCGCGATCAATCATGCTAGGTACAACACAACGCACACAAACGCTCACTCCCATCTGGCAGCCATTTCGCAAAACCCTCTAGTAGTCATCAGCTGCCATAGCAAGCCCGCCTCCTCGCTTCCCTGTGCTTACATGGAACAGTACCGAGGGAGGAAAGGAGGAAAGAGGGCTGGTCAAGTATGAGTTTATGAATCCGACCATCTATCATGGGTGTGCTGGTGAGGCGTTGGGCGATCATGTTGTTTAACCAAGTTTCTCTTTGTTTGCCTGCTAGCTAGGGAGTAACGAGCCCACGATTAGATTGCAAGCACCCTGCCTTCCACCATCAATCTGCTACTTCTCCTCTTGTTCCTTCCAAGTCACGACCCTTGCCAGAGAAACACAGGCCTTCATCTCTCTTCCCAAGCTCCACATTCCTTTGCTGTTTCATGGCCATCTATCATCATCACATCTCCTGACGCCTCTCAATCGGACTCGAGCTGCGACCGGCATCTGATTCCTCTTCCGACTTCCTGCGCTTTCGTTTTACGCCCTGGTCCTTCGACCCCTCCGCAGGTGATGAAAAATCATCAATATCAATATCCTCCAGATCATCTGAGCGGTAAGACGTAATGGGTGATGTTCCTGTGCTAGAATCCGAAACTGGCGTACCGGATTTCAGGTATTCCTGAACCCTCTCCATGAGCTTTGTCTCAGCAGCCTTGATCACAGCCATGCCGGCCTTTCGCGGAAGCCAAGGAGGTAACGCCGCCGTGAACCAGTACTCATGGTGTCCAGGATATAGAATCTTTTCGTCGGCGTTCTCATTAACGTACTCAATGAGCGCGTGGCATGCCGGACAGCAGCGCTTCGACACGGGAAGAACTTTTGCGGGCTTGGCAAAGCTATCAACGATGTCTTTGGATGGTAGTTGGAGGTACGGATTTTCGCCGTTCTTATCAGAGCTAACTTTGTCGCGGGCCGCTTGTGTTTCGTGAAGAAGCTGAAGGGACAACAACAGAGTCTCGCAGTGAAAGTTGCCATCAAAACCGTTTTCGTCCTCCCATTTCGTATTCGATATCACAGGCGTTCCATCCTTTGTCTGCTCGTGTTCCTGGATGAATGCCTTGATTTTTGCAACGTTGTCTGGTCCTATCTCGTTGCCCCAGGGGAACTTAAGAGTCTCTATTACCCTCCTCATCGACATTATGTTGCTGTCTGCCTGGTCTTGGAAGCAACGTACGAACTCGAACCTAGTAGCTCTTAAGAAATTGTGCGTTTGTTTGTCGTGCGTATCGCCAGAAATTTTGCCTAGACTGTTGACTGCCTTTTGATGAAGGCATATTAGATCCAAATACTTTAATGCTGCCAGGTCCCAGTTCTGCTGAAGTCCAGCTAAGTCAATTCCCTCGAAGTCCGCAGTATACGCTGCTTTCTTAGTTATGAAGGTCTTTTCGAGACCACCTTCCAAGTCCCTGAGACCGCCGTCCGATGACGACGACTGATATGGGCTGGGTTCTGATGAAAGCTGCCCAAGTGGGTCTGATGAAAGCTGCCCAAGTGGGTCTGATGAAAGTATGTCGGCTGAGTGATTTGATGGCCAAGCATTAAGCTCGCGCCTCTGCTCCTCTCTATCTTTGACCTTGGTGATGGCGAAGACATGTTTCAGGTACAGTAGGTGAGCTTGCACTACAGGCCTTAGCTTGTCCAGCAGTGCTGAGAGTAACCTTAACCATCCACTGGCGGTCGCGGCGTAGCGATCTAGCTTTAGGGCGGCGTTGGCGACTTGCTCTTCACTTAAGTTGCCTTTACCTTTATCCATAAGCCATTCGTGTTTGTTGTTTACTAATTTGAGGAGGGCAGCATTCACAGCAATAAGTAAACCACTGAGTAATGTCTGAAAGGCAGGTCGTGTGTCGTTTGTGTATTCGACCTCATCGGATCGTTCCAGCCATGGCTCCAGCTCGGGAGCAAGACCCAATCTTTTCAAGGACGCGAGGATCCTCCGCAATAATGGACCCGGGATCTTCATGCCTTTTGCATTCGAAGGCTGGAAGGGTATATTCTTTTCAGTCCTAGAAGCAGTGTGCACATCTGTCGACTGCTTGGTCAAAAATTCCCAAAGATTTCGGTCATGCTTAGTTGTACCGCGAATGATACGTCCACGGATCTTCGCAATACTGGCAAGAAGGACGTAGTTGTGTAATCTTGCTCTTGTTATGCGCAAGGCGTCACGATCACTAGCCTCATGAGTAGCAGTGATCAACGAAATGAGCATTGAACCATGCTTATCGAGGGTAATGCTCGTCTTCGGGGCTTTCCTCTTGATGCCAGTTGTGTGTTTCAGCAACCATGCTCCAGCTGAGTTCATGGGCTCTGCTGGTTCGGCAATGATCTCCACCAACAGCGGTGCAATTCGGTTCACCATACCTTTCTTCTTGTTGCCCTTGTTCTTATCGGTCTCAGGATCAGGATTTGCCGTGTAGTAGACGTGTCCTATGCCTGCATTGTCTTCGTCATCGAGTTCTGGGGAGTTGTCGCTTGTCTCATCATCGTCGCGGTCAGGATCGGTCAAGATCTGGACAAGTGGGCCATTTTTATCTGCAGACCTCACGGCGACCACCTCCAGATGGCGAACAAGCAGATCGTTAAAATCAGCAAGCCTTCGGTACAACACATTGTTTTTACTGTTCTTATTGTCGTGGATAAAGCCAAGACCGCCCTGTTGTGTATGGTCGTCTATGCCGTTGGTGGCGCGCAGCAGGTTTGTTAGCCCACGGAATCGGAGCAAATCCGCCTCAGTCAGAAAATCGGAGGCTCTGCCGAACGTTGCAGCCATGGCTGATGGCGGTCGTCCTATGAAAACAATGTGGCGGGTGGGTCAGGGCGAAAGGGCCGGGCGAAATATCTTTGTGGGGTGTAGCGAAAGCGCTGAGTGCGCTGACGCGCTAGCCCGAAGCGAACCGCGGGGGCACAAGGATCTCCAGAGAAATGATACATCAATAGTCATCGCCAATGTAACATATTTTTCTAAGCAATTAATAAGAAGGGAGAGGCATGTCTTTATATATTCTATACCCCGTACCCTACACACCTTTACCCTACACAACTATGCTCTAATAGATGGACTTTCTATCTCTAATCTAACCTGCTAATAATATTTGCAGAAGATAGCTCTGACCAAAGTACAAACATGTTAGGACACGGTGTCTATTCCCACTGCGCCAAATAACCAAAAAGGTGCGTATAATCCATGAATGGATTATTCACGAATAGAATAGTATATATGGGCGCAGGGCACGCCATACCCCATAGTCCTACCATGCGCGCGCACGCTGCCATGGCCTGACAAAACAAGTCAAGCGATCTGTACAAAGCCTAAATTGCTATACTATCTAATTTTAATAATTAAAGGTTTCTTTCTACATACAACTATAGGACACTACTCTAGATCGGTTTGAAGCCTCTTAATTTCTGATGAGAAGCCAGCTCTAGTAGAATCTTTCATACTTAAACATCCCGTACGAAGATTAGACTATTTTATGCTATATTGTTAACAATCGAGCAAATGTTTCACATACGACCATAGGACACTGAAAACTAGGCTTCCCGTCCGCTCAGCCATATATAAGCAGTGTACCGGCGGATTAGTAGTTAGGTGGGTGACCACTAGCGAATCCCTGCTGTTGTATGTTTTTAATTTTTTTACCATCAAATCCACTACTTACCCACGAGAATGTGCGTTAATACTACATAATAATAATAGATCGTGCGATCGTGCGAGTAGGCGCGCCCAGTCTAAGTCTTCTAAGGGCGAACCTACTTCCCCCCTTTTTTTGAGCGGGCAGAGACTCACAGGCAGCCCGGGCTAAAGTCTCAATAGAGAGGCAGAAAGCTTGCCTAGCGGACTCAAACCCACTGCTCATCAGCACGGAAAAGGCGCCTTACCGACCAGCTTCACAGTACGTCGTCTTAGAAAGCAACTGACGACATCATCAGAGCCTTTGTCCAATCCTGACTTGATCATGACTACAAAGTACCACACACCACATAGGCTACAGACATGCTTCGCCATCATCGTCGAACCCTCTACAAGCGCTCACTACTCAAACTGATTATGGGTCGCAGGATCAGGCGCCTTGTAACCTCTCCTGAAAAGAAAACTCTGTAACCGATCTTCCATCCTCGCAAGCTGTAGCAATATCAGCGACAACCCCTTTGAAGAACTGCATAACAGTGCATCTTCAACTGCAATTCTGGACACTCACAAAGCCACGTCCCGTAACCCCGTCTCTCACCCAAACGCCATAGCTCCCCATCATGTTGGCCATCATGATATCCGTGGACAAGCGGTCGCCAACAATCGCAATCTGATTTGCACTAGTCACCCCAGAGTCTGGGTGCGCCTTGAAATACGCCATGACTTCTTCTTTACATCCTGGTTTCTTCGTCGAATGTCGCAGCACTTTGACACCCGTGTTAGCTTCTAGTAATGCAGCCTCTTTTTGGTTCTTGTCCGAGTCCGTTCCTGCTGTGTTGGATACGATCAAAAGTTTCGATCCAGGATATGCAGTACGTAGTCGCTGGAAATGGTCCTGAAATATATGCTAGTCAGCTAGCTGTCATGGACTGTAGACGGATTAGAAACATCATACTTGCAATGGCTTGTGAATCTCATTGCTATGTGGAACGGCAAAGCAATTGTCCTTGTCCAGGACTACCGCCTGGATGTCCACTTTCTTGGATCCACTTTCGCCATCTCTCCTGGCAAAGGCGTTCGATAGGGGAATAGGCAATTGGTTGAAAGTAGACACTGTGTGCTGTGGAAGACACAGAGTCGGCTCTCTTATCAGCCGAAAGGCATTCAAAGTCCCCGAGATATTCATTGAATAAATTTGCGGACAATGTCTATGTGCAGATGTTTGTATCAGTCGTGCAGGGAGACGAGGCTGACTAAGGCACTGGAGCGTAACGCTAATGTTTTGTGGTCCAAGCTCCGGTCGCAATAACTTCGACTTTGGCAGTCTATCCATAGTCACACACGCTCGCGCCTGTAACGACATCAACGATACCACGGACACTTGGATTCCCCTGAACCCTTTCGAAACGTCTCACCTGCAATCAGGTTGCACGACACCGGACCGCCAAGACGACACGACAAATCCTCCAGTGCCCGCGACCGAGCTGTCGACAAGTTCCGCAGAAGCAAATAATACTGACTGCGTAAACCTTTCAACCCTCCGTTTTATACCGCAAGAATGACGAGTACAATTGGAATACCCATCAAGCTCCTTAATGAGGCGGCTGTACGTTCGGCGCTTGAAAGCCGTAGGAATTAAGCGCTGACTGGATACAGGGCCACATCGTCACGCTGGAAATCACTTCTGGCGAGGTGTACCGCGGAAAGCTGATTGAAGGCACGTCTACCTACCGATAATTGCGCGTACCAAAAGCAAAGAGCTGACAAGTCACAGCCGAGGACAATATGAATGTGCAACTCAAGGACATCACAGTTACTGCGCGTGACGGCCGTGTCTCGCATCTTGAGCAAGTTTATATCAGAGGCAGCCACGTGCGGTATTTCATTGTGCCAGACATGCTGAGGTACGGATGAGCTAGGCAGGATTACGGTGAAGTCAACTAAAATACTACAGGAATGCACCCATGTTCCGATCGCGAGGCACAAGGGGTCGCGGTGTCGGTCTTGCCCGTGGACGTGCCACGGTGAACAGGGCAAGGACTAGTGGTCGCGGTGGGCCTGGAGGACCTGGAGGACCTGGAGGACGTTGAAGCGTGGGTTAGGAAGCGGATGACAAAGTTTACCAAGCTGAAAGCTACCTCGCACCAGTTCAGAAGAACTGTTGGCTTTATCTGGCTTATATTATGGAGATCTAGCTACAGTCAGGTACGAGGTCTAGTATGCTCTCGTCGGGTATGCGCTGAAGATGAAAAAGCACGACTTCAAAATGGATGATACCTGCAAAGGCGAATGAACAAATACCTCTCAACTGCGAAAACTCTCGTGTCTCCTTCCACTGCAAAGCTTTTGGTGAATTCAAGGGCCGTTGTTGCAAATGAGCAATTCTTAAAACAACATCTGGCTGTGTAGCGCCGTAATGAGCGTCGGGGACCTAGTAGGATGTCTTACCCCACAATGAAAGGCTAGATACGGCAAGGTCTCACCCCCGAGAAACTCCGCAGGTTGACCAATTTCCCCACCCCAACACAACATGGAAATCAGGAACCCAAGACGCGTATTGACCGTAGGAGCGCCAGACGCCGGCGTGTTGAAATTACTCGAGGGTAAACAAAATCATCGCGCACGCAACTGTAGACATGACGCTGACAAAATTACCTTCTAGAACTCACCGGTTCCGCCCCAGAGCCTATCGCCGGCACTACCGCCGGCCTCACCCACAACTGGCGTCTCGAAACAAAATACTACACTGCCACCCTTCCCATCTGGATAGACGAGATCCCCAACATTGTGGAATGGCGCACCGAATTCGTCAAGCCCGAGGCGGGCGAGGTCATCACCGTGCTGGGAGGCTGGATATACTGTTTCAAGAAGCCCGTGCAGGAACAAGAGCTCGACACGATCAAGGCTACGATGCAGGCCATTGCCGATGTCATTGAACGCGCGTGTGGCTTCGGGGGAGACCAGGTATGTCTTGCGGTCGCGATGCCACAGTCTACAACCCCGTATCTGGACAAGACCGGGGAGCAGTGGGAGGAGCTGGCGGCCGAATATGGCTTCGAATATGTCGATTTCGAGGCCACGGGCAAGAACGACTTTGGGGAGGCTGTGGGCGTGCAGAGGGTTAGGGAGGCGCTGGAGGCGGGCGAATGGGAGAGCACTGATCCGCCGGATTTTGGGGATGCGGAGGGATTCGATGGCTCGTTGGCGGCGGAGGAGGCGGAGATGAGCACGGAGCTGTGTGATTTGCAGGGAGCGCTGCGTGGTGATGGCGTGGGAGAGGATAGGATTGGCGATGAAGAGGTGGATGAATTGGAGGTCATGATGAAGAAGATGGTGGCTATCAAAGAGATGGGTGAAGGCATGGAAGAAGCAGAGCGGAAACGCTTCGCCGCAAAAGCCATCAACGACCTGATGAAAAATCTCTAACAGCCACCATACACACAATTAACTGTCAGACCCTCACCCCTTTCTCCCCAAACACACCAAGAACGGGAACTCCATCTCCCTAGCTGGCCTGCCCCCCTCCGCTTCAACCTCCTTCCTCAACACAAACGCCTCCTCCACCTTAACCTCCTCGAACCCCGCCCCGACCAACAACTCCTCTATCTCCTTCCTCCGAATCCCATGCCGCTCGACCCCTGCCCTCTTCGCAACCGGATGAAACGGCACGGCCTCGGGCCCAAAATCCTCATAATCCGTCAACGCCACCCACCCACCCACATTCAAGCACGTATACAGCGTCCCAAACAGCTCCTCCAGCGACGGAATATGATGCAGCGTCAAATGCGACACCACGAGGTCAAACTGCACCGGTGACTGCCGTTCTTGATCTGCCACATCGCTGCGCATCTCCTCTCCACACTGCGCTGCCAGCCGCGCCGCAGCGTCTCGCAGCTCGGGGCTGAAAGAATTGATCAGATAGTGCTCCAGCGCCAGCAGGTTCGGGCGTGCTGTCGTTTCTGCGAGCCGCGCGAGTTTGGTGGCGAAGGCGCTGATCATGCCCGGGGCGGTGTCGACGCCTAGCAGGCTGTGGATGTGCGGGGCGAGCATGAAGGAGAGCAGTCCCGTGCCGCAGCCGATTTCTAGGATGCGGAGGTCTGTGGGGGTTAGTTGAAGGTGGATTTGTTGATGATGTTGAAGGAGAAGTGGGCTATTTGGGAACGGGGAACGGGGAACGGGACTTGGTATATATGCAATAAAAGCCATTGCATATAACACCCAGGAAACCAATTCCCCTAGATACATTCCCAAAATGAATTTCTCCCCCTATAGCTCAATCTAACTCACCTCGACCCCTCCCCTCCCTAAACGCAGGCACATACTCGCGTATCGCAGCTAAAGCCTTCTCCGTACTCTCCACATGCTTCACATTCGAATCCCAGTCCTGCGCTTCTTGGCTGAAGCGGTCGCGCGCAATGTCGGCGTTTGAAGGCATGGTCTTGGGCGTTGAAAATGTACGTTGCCAGCAGTCGATATTTTCCCGCAAAAGGCAAAAGACGGAATAAACGCGCGCTGGCCTAGTACGGTACCTAGTGGCGCTTCTATGTCCTCTGTATAGGTAACCGCGCGGTTGTGCTGGGTTTCGGGGTGTGCTACAGGTGTTGCACGGAAGAGGCGGAATGTGTTGATGTGTTGATGTGTATGCGTATTTGTGGGATGTTGGATGTGATGTATGACATGACATGACATCTAACCCCCAATTCGAGGATGGTGATGCCGAGATGGGTCGAGTGTGCGGGTTGGTGGGGTTGCGGGGTAATGGGAATGGGTTAGGTTGGGTTGGGTTACTGGCTGGTGCCTAGGGTATTCCGATGCCAACGGGTTCTGGTTCGGATGAGGCTAGGGTGTGGTTACGGTGTGTGTGTGATGTGCCGAGGGGCAGGACGGGGATGCGAGATGGGATTTTGGTTGGGGGGTGGGGGTTGGTTATAGAGATGGAGATGTGCTGGGATGATGGAGTGGTTTTTGAGTGAATGGAGGGATGGACTCAAGGTAATGGTAGGGATGAAGTTAGACGATTGCAGGGAATGATGGAAGAAATGGATGATGTGAATCAAGTATCAACACTACTCTAGTTAAATTTATTTCCATTACAAAGACTGAAAATCTTTCTAATCTAACATCCCACAACCTCCATCCGCACCGCCTTCCCACCCTTCTCTTTCTCCGCCTCCTCGAGCCCCAAACTCTGCGCAATCGTAAACAAGCGCACCTTCTCCTCATGCGCTGTAGCATCCCCAAACACAGCATCCATCTCCTCGAGCGACCTCCCCTTGGTCTCCGGCAGCACGATCCATGTAAAGGCAAAAGCGAGGAGGGCAAACACGGCGAAGAAGAGGTATGTGCCGTATCCAATCTTCTCGAGCATATCCGGCGTCACAAGGCCGATGATGAAGTTGGACATCCATGTGGCCGAGGTGGTGAGCGACATTGCCTTTGACCGACTGCCTAGGTTGTAGATTTCAGAGGGCAGGACCCAACCAATGGGCGCCCAGGAGTAGGAGAAGTTGACGTCGTAAATGTAGACGAATGCGATTCCCGTCCATCCGGCTGCGGGGTGGTCTTTGAGCGTTGAGCTGTAGCCGCCGATGACGCCGCCGATGATGAGCAGCGAGATGCAAGTACCGGCTGCACCGCAGATGAGGAGTGGGCGACGGCCGACTTTGTCGATGAGGAAGAGTGCAGGTAGGGTGCTGATTGTGTTTACGATTCCGTAGACGCCTGTGGCGAGCAGACCGCTGGTTTTGCCGGAGAGGCCGAGCTGGCTGAAGATGCTGGGCGCGTAATAGATGATTGCGTTGCCTGGTGGGATTAGTATGGATGGAAGGAGAGGGAAGAGGATGTGTACTTGCATCCGATAAATTGCTGGAAGAACATGACAAGTACATCCAATAGCCGTACGCTTGAAGGACGGCCAAGTGGAAAATAACGTCGTGTATCCAGCAAGATATAATGAAACGCCTGATTTCCCAGGAAACTTTTCCCGATTGTACGTCTGTTCAAACATGACTTCGGCCCTGATGGCCAGATACTCTTTTTGCAGGTCTTCATCCTCAGGAGTACGCCGACGAACGCGAGCTAGTGCTCTGATACCGGCTTCTTCGTTGTCGCGCATGCAGTAGTAACGTGGTGACTCTGGGAAGAAAATCATCCCAATACCAAGCACGAGAGCAGGCATGATTTGGAGCGCGAACGGGACACGCCATGATGCATCGCTCTGTCCCGTGCATCCGCCAGAAGACACATCGTTATAAGGGTCGAAGACTCGCTCAGTGGGCGTACCGCCCGTGTAAGGTATATCAGGATCACAGCGTGTGCCACCAATATACTGAGTGCCGTATTCGAGCCAGTAGCTGACGAGGATACCGAGAGTGATGGAAAGCTGCTGGAGAACTACAAGGGTACCTCTGATACCCGCAGTCGACACCTCACTCATATACATGGGCACAATCATAGTTAGCATGCCCACAGAGAAGCCTGCTATAGCCCGTCCTGTATTTTGCATCAGCAGAGTTCTCAAAACTCAAAGGGGAAGAGGCGCAACTCACCTGCAAAAGCCACGGGTACATTGAAAGCGCCAGCCTGGAGGGCAGAGCCAACGGTAAAAACAACAACAGCAATCTCAATAGAACCCCTGCGACCGAATCGATCGGCTACAGGACCATTAACCAGAGACCCAAACCAAGCAGCCAGCAACAATGTCGATACAAATCAGCCCTTGAAAGAGCTGTCCGAGTAGATTCTGGGGAAGCTCGCGGCAAAGGACTCCATGGTCAGGACACCACTGACAACACCTTGGTCGTAGCCGAACAGGAACCCACCGAGCGATGCAAACTACATATGTGAGTGACAATAGAACATCTTGGAGCATGTCATCAACTTACTGCAGAAAGACCAAGTAGCTAAGGGTTCTGGCGCAACTCCTTGTACACACTCTTCTTCTCACTAGCTCCGATATTGGCGTCTTCAATGTCCATGTTGGTACCAGTAGCCATGATGCTTGACTTCAGCATCCAGCAAGGCTATCGTTCCAATCCTACAGATACACTCTATATCTAACTCACACTTAAAAAGATCAGAGTAGTTCTTACCTTATGTACTATCCCAGATTATATGTCTAGATGTCAACCCTCAAGTCCTACAACGCATACCATATAGTCCGGAGCACAGTCGTCCGACTCAACAGTCACATCAGGAAGCCATAGCGTGCATCCTCAACACGGGTATACCCATACCGTCCCCGCATGGCGATCTCGACATTTACCCCATTCCTGATTCAGGATATTGAGATGGGGTGCATGCATGACATATGCTCGGACAGGTGTGACCCGAACCCCACAAAACCAGGTCGATGATGTTTAGGTGAACGCCGCTTCTTGGGTCGGAAACACTATCCATTCGACACCCCAACCGAGCCATCTCGTGATATTTGTTGTGCCTTGATACCCGATCCTTTCTTGCCTCGTATGACTTCGCGTACCCCTCTTGTTTCTTGCTCGACCATGGAAAAGGACGTCAAGGTGGATACGCTTGCAGAAGCGATTCCCGATCTGGTTAGACGCGTGGAACAGCTTCTTGCACGACAATTATCCAATCCTCGTCAGCGAATGCTTGTTGCGCTTGCAGGTGTGCCAGGTTCGGGCAAGTCGACGGTATCGCATGCCGTTGTGACTGAGCTCGCCTCGCGAGGAATTCAAGACGTTGTGGTTGTGCCCATGGTAAGCACATGGCCATGTAGATCTTGTGCAAGTATTGATGTCTCCTAGGATGGCTTTCATTATACACAACAAGTGCTGTCAACGTTTCAAGACCCTACCCAAGCTTTCCAGCGGCGTGGTGCCCCGTTCACTTTCGATGCAGAAGGCTGTGTAAAACTTGTAGAGACTTTGAAGTCAACGCCTGTCACGAAGAGTGGTGAGACAGAGTTCACGGTGCTTGCACCAAGTTTTGACCATGCGCTCAAAGACCCGGTTCAGGATGACATACGAGTGTCCTCTCATACCCGTCTAGTGATCATCGAGGGTAATTACACTCTTCTCAAGCAGAGTCCATGGGATCAAATTGCGGAACATTGTGACGAGAGGTTCGTAACATGGGTCGTTGCATGATTGTTGTGTTGTCCGCTAACTCGTCATAGATGGCTCGTTGATGCCCCAATAGATGTAGTAAGACAACGGCTAGTACAGCGTCACCTAGCAGCCGGAATTGAACCGTCAACAGAGTCTGCTATCCGACGAGCAGAGGAAAACGACATACCAAATGGCGAATTAATTAGAAATCAGTTGATTACACCAGATGTAATCATTGGGAATTGATTCGACGCGCCAGATAGTAGCAACGGATAGCTGAATCGCGCATGAATTACGTACATTTAGAACCCATTAGTAGCCAAATTCCAGTCGAAGGAGTTGAACAACTCATTGGTCTCGACTGACCAAGGGAAGTTGCTCAGTGCATCTTTATCCAACTCTAAATCTTGAAAGAGGCCCGAGTTCATATCATCATTGGAGACGACCTGGTCTAGAATAGCCACACAGCGAGCTGATAGCGAGTCTTCAATCAGACGTTCGCGAAAGGTGCTTCTCGCCAATCGAACATCTTCGTACCAAGTCTTCACCTCATCTGCGTGAGGAAAGCTAATGATGCAAAGTGTTACTACCAAGGCTGCGTGAAACAAGAAATATCTGTATATGTCAGAGAATGTTGCGCAAATATAATCAGATAGCACTCACGTGGCATACCAGCCCTCCAGCCTAGCCAAGCCTTGTGCTGCATATTGATGTATTGACACAATAGTCGAATGCGCAGCTTCGAGGCAGATTCGCTTACATTCTACTTGGTGCGACTGGGTGTCCTGGTTTAGAATCTGTCCTCTCTCGGATATCGCCCTGCGTAATAAAATCTGGCGAAAAACGATGATTTGCAAATTCCAATACCTCCACCACAGCCTTGCTCGGGCAAAGAGATACCACCGTAGTTGGGATGATGGTATCACATGAAGTTGGAGGTAAGGTGGGAGCGTATTCACCCAATTGTTCATAGATGCATTCAGGGCAAGAGCGGCTTCGGCCGACAGGCCGGGGTCGGCAAGAAGACGATTCGAGATGTAGTTGGTTTGCATGTGGAAGTTGCTCTGAGTCTGGAGAGCGGAGTAAATCGTAGGTTCAATGGACTCGGGCGGAAGCTCTATAGTTCTTGGAGTGAGGGACTAAACTTTTTTAGTCAAATGTCAAACGTTACAACTCCGGCTGCCTTACCTCATCATCAATATTGAGTACCGGATGCACGTTCATGGAGTCTTGGTCAGGCAGCATGATCGCTCTACCGAATGTCGTCGATGCTCCACTGTCAAAAATGTACAAGCCCCACCACACTCGCCGTCTGACCTCCCGTTCGATGAGACTAATGTTCCAATGAGGCAACTCCCTGTGAAGGGCGAGACTAAGCGCCGTGCGAACCGCAAGACCCAAGAGGTTCCATCCAGTATTTGGACTATTTCGTTTCTGGCTGAGATTACTCAGAAGAACGAGCGCTTGAACAGAGGTAAGATTTGCATTCTCAAACACAGACTCGTGTTGACCAAATGTTAGGGCTCGACGATATAGGTATTCCTCCAGTCCAATCTGGTCATTATTGAGACTCCAAGCCCCAAGCGCTAAGATTGCGTAGTAGAGCATGTCCCATGATCTCTGTGATGGGCGTGGTACAATCTCGTGATATTGCGCGCGGAAAGTGCCCTCATGTACGAAAGGATAACAGACGTGGTAGTCATGAAAGTAGGCATCAATTAGGGTCGTCGCGATTTGATTCGTGAGAGCAGCATGAGATATATGCGACGAGTGCATCACTCCGTCGAAGGATAAGGAAGGTCCTGGTCCACGTTGATTTGCTTGAGAACCTGACTGGTGTAGGAAGCCGGCCCAATCTAGTAGGCAGCGGAGGAATACCACGCCGGAAGTTGAGCCTTGGACGGTCAGCTAAGTCGAAGGACTCGGACAGAAGACATACCCAGGTAGCCGACGCCCGTAGGCTCAACTGAAAGCGCTGCCATACCATCCGTCAGGCTGTCCACCGTAACATTCTCTTCCTGCCAATTAAAGCCATCGACGCTGTTAGGCACAGCTTCGGGTATATTAGGCTCATTGGTCGCAGAGATAGAGCTTCCCTGTGGACTCAAAGCTACTGATGGATGACTTGGGTCCGGTGTTTGCGCTGCACCAATTGACGCCGCGTTTTGGATTCTTTCTGGTGAAGCAAGTACTTCATCGATACTTACGCCAGGTAGAAGCTGAGTGACTAGTGCTTCAACATCATGCAGTCGCTTCTCGACCCCAGTAAGATATCTACATCATTCCAGATGAGCAGAGTGAATTTTCTGGTAAGGTTTGAGACATACGCTCTGGTCAACGGTGACCGAGTCACTTTACCACTGTAGTGACATTGGTGGCCACTATGGGCGCAAGAGATGCACGTGGGGGTTTCCTTTGAACACTGTATGACGTTAGTCCTCTTGTTTGCTTGAGTGTCTGCGGTGCTCGTCGACTTTCCTTGAGCTTCTTCAGCCGACATCGATCGCAAGAGAGTGCATCTCTTGCCTTTCTTTGCTCCATGCATGAAAGCAGTCTAGTGTTGACGGGGTGGAGAGCACGCTGCGTGGTTCTGCGAGTACCTATGAGGTGACGGGGAAATCGGACCGACTTTTCGTACAGCCGATCTTCAGGGTCTTCGAAGTTCTCACCGTGCCAAAACACATGGGTGCCCCGCAATAAAAAGAAGACCAACATATAGTACAAGGTATCCTCAACGCCTCGGACGCTGTTGTGGAAAGTTTTCATGAATTCATGTTGATTGTAGCAATACATCGAGATACATCCGTCGAGTTTTTCAAAACTGGCACATAATCTGCGCATCTCATTACACTAATTCGTAGCAGGGTATCTCGCGTGTGCTGAACAAGACCGTTGAAGAGGCCATTGCAGCATTCCACTTCCGCCACATTACATATAATCATCGAAACCAGCACTGAAATATGCATTACTCGACAAGACCCTTGTTCCAGTCGTTGGCCCGTCCAGAGTCTTCATCGTCATCATCCTCAAAGTGTACGTTCTTCCTGTGTGGCTTGTGAATCCTCACGAGCCAGAGGAAATAATCTTCCAGTGGCAATAGGTTGAGCAGGATGCTGTTGCCGTTCCAGGCAAGTCCACAGACAATGGCGCCCGCCATCGCATCAAGAATGAAGTGGTTTGCTGTCGCGACAATCGCGATAAAGATGATGGTTGGATATGCGACTCCGAGGAAGATGCAAGCCAGACGTCGTAGCGAAGGAACGCGCATGCGCAGACCCATCGTGAGCTGGACGGTGCGGGAGCGACTATGCTGCGGTGCAAGAGGAATCGACATGATGGTAAGTCCAATGAGCAGAGAGTAGCCAAAATGCAGCGATGGCATCGCGGCGTACTGGTTACAGAATTTGTTCTGTGTCCAGACACTGCTTTCACCCTCGGCACCATGCACGGTATCAACGAAGCCAAAGCTACGTGCTTCTTTGCCCACTGATCCTGGAACGTCTGGATCAGATAGAAGGCGCGGCGGCATGCAGGGCCAAAGCGTGAACACGATGAAGGCAATCAAATTGCATACGGCCATGGTGCGCCTGCGAGCTTCGTAAAGCCTAGGTCCTGCAGGCGAACCATCTGCTTCTCCCTTGGGCTTGTTGTGTAGAGGTAGGTCGACGCGATTACGGGTTGTGGTGTAGTAGAATAGCCAGACGAGGAAGAGGATGGTTCCCGGGATATGAATAAAGGAGTAGGTTCGGTTCGTCCAGTGTAGCAAGGTTGGATGCTTGAGGAACCATGCTTGGACATCAAGTTCGAGAAAAATGTGGAGCCGCTGCTCTAGGTGGATGATTTGAAGGGCATGGCGACGAGCAACGTTGACCGTACCCTCTTTCATGGTGACTGCTGTGAATGCGCGACCCAGCTGATATACCTGTGCAAGTTTCATTAGCCATGTCCAGAATTACACCATGCTGAATCTTGCCATGGTGCAAGCTTGACCTACCCAGTATATCAACGCCCAATACCAAGCTTCAACGAGGAATGGAAATTTCTTCAGTAGTCTGCTGAGGAAGTAATCGTCAAACCTCCTGGTATTTGGGCTCATGACCTCCTTCTTCAGCCCGAACAAGGACAACTCGCGTTTCCGCCATTTTGGCTCCTCGTCGACATTTCCGAGGAGTGAGACGCTAGACGTTGGACTCGAACGTCCAGACTCAAATGAGGATGCGGATGCTGGCGATGCTGATCGCGGGGAATTGTGGCGATATACTCTTCTTGGGTTTAACAGGCGATATTCAGGATTGCGATTGACCCAAGTGCCTCCGAAAAGTAATGATACTACCACTAGTGGTTCTATGAAAGCCCCCGCACCCATGTTGAACGACTGTATGGATGGATGCAATGATAACTTCCACGAGGTATTTCGGGGGGAGAGCTGACCGAAATGGGCTCGAGACGGATACGCAGGGCTTCGGAAGGGTTATAAAGGATTGTGAATAGTATCCAAGACTAGTGAACTATCCGGTGAAGCCGTAGACCGGAGTATGACAATGTTTGCCTAATCTAGCACGCCTGTCGTTCTTCCCACGCAAGGGAGTGCAGCACGCGCCAGCGTATGGGTTTTCTCTAAAACAGCAGGAGAGAGGCAAAGCAGATGTGGGAAGCAAGACAGGAAACAGAGTGACGCAAAAGTGCAGGAGAGCTAGATAAACTAGTCAAGAAGTCACAGAGCGCAAAGATAAGTCAGCGGACCACACGGCATCGATGAAACTGATTTCGACAGCTCGACATGAGAGCGACTAACAGCCATGCAAGCGCTAGTGGATGTGCGTGCATTCAACGGACGAAACAATGGCCAGGAAAAAAGCCGGCTTCCCGCTGGGTGAGGCTGGGTCGCTTGCTGACATGGCCCAGTCCCGTCTTCACGTCATGGTTGGAGTTTATGATGACATGGCGAACATGGCGAAAGAGCTTGCCGCAAACTGAGTTTCTGCCCGCCATCTTGTTCAACCCAGAAGCACACACTCATGTGAGGATACCATATGCTCTTTGTTGCCGGTTTGCTTTGTGTGTGGACTGCAACAGTTGTGAGTACTCGCACGTGAGCTGTCGTGTAAGAAAGCACAAGGCATGCGACAATCGACAAGGCTTAGCTTCCGCGAGCTACCGGAACTAGACCGCTTTGGGACAGCTCGGCAGGACCCGACATTTTCCAAGGCACATGGCGAATCCGGGCTTCCATTGGTTCGGAGGACGGCGTATTGTGAGCTCCGATACGGCCACACTGGACGGTACGATACAACCGGGGAGTGCTTGGGGGGCTCGTGTTTTGACTTGTGAATCTCTGTGTCTTACCAAGCGAGTGCGCGAGTTGATTTCGGCTGTATTACTTTGGCTGTGCAGTAGATATAGTACGTCATCGGATAGGATGGTCTGGGCATCAACCACGTCAGTGAAACGGTCTGCAATCCATATTGTTGGGAGCGTGGAGTAACGGCCTCAGAAGATATTGTTTTTCTGGCATGTTGATCCCTAACTAATGCCAGCATAGACTTGCACATCATGTTGGTCCCTGTGCAAATTGATAGCTGTCATGCGACAAGACCACCAAGTCAATCAATTGCTCTTTACAGCTTGTCTCGACCTTTATCGAATCGGATTCGCATCCCATCATATTCATTGGCCATTTCTTTACCAACTCATCCTGAGACCCTTGCCCACCTTATGCCCCAAACCACCATACCAAGGAAAATTACTGTACACATAACGTATCATTCAGGCTTTGCGCTCAAGCCAACGATTTTGATAAAAAAAAAGGCCGATCCGAGCAATGCTGCAGGACTTCAATTTCGAAACTATGCCAAACGCTCACAATGCTCCCAAACGCCTCGCTTGAACAGTAAAAGAAAGGCAGCAGAAACAATCCAACCAGGTCAGGAGAAAACAGTGTCAAGTTTGAAACAGATAAGAGCAGAAGAAACAATGTGCCCATAAAGAGTAGAAAGAAAGGTCAAAGTAGTTCGAACCGGCATCAGATCAGCAAGCAACGCTGTTGAATGGCGCACTCTCCTGAAGGTCTTCGACAAGGGCGTCCACATTGCTGAGGTATTTGCCGAGCATATACTGCTTGTCCTCTTGTGATCGAATATTCTTTCTCGATTTTCCGCCGTCATCGCCTGGCGCTGCGCTACCTCGTCGCTCCAAGGGACCAGTCAGCTTGCCAGGACTTCGCTGAGAGCTGGTTATTGGAATCTCCGGCATAAGATAAAAGTAAAGAAACTCGAGTAGCTTGACTTTGACATTCTGCGTCGTATCCTCATCCTTGAACAGACTCGTAACCGTGAGCAGGCCGTCCATATGTTCAAACGTTCGTGTGTTTTGTGGAGTTGCCAGGAGCGCCGTGACGAGTACGAGGAGGGCTTGCGATTGTATGGCAGGGCAGTTGTAGGGGTCGAGAAGGTCGAGGAGGAGGTTCATGTAGACTTCGCGGCCGAAGATGATGCGCGAAGGGGGATGGAGAAGGAGGAGGCCTTGAAGATTTGACAATGACGAGAGTATGAGGATGTCGTTTGTGCCATCTACCAACTGTTGTCAGCTTACTAAGTAAGATATCGGGCCGCGGTGTTTACCTTTACTACTTCCCATGCCCAATAATCGTTCAAGGCAATCAGCCACTCTTGTTGCCACTGTCGATTTGTTAGCGCGTGCGGTCAATTGATGTTTCTTGTTGTTGTGAGCTCACCGTTCCATTCGAAGCCCTCTTGCAATCGAAAGAACTCCCTGAATGCGGGATCCTCGGCCAGGTGACCAAGTTTCTTTGGTGTGGATTGTTGCTGCTCGCCGAGGTTGATTGCGGAAGCGTTCCGTCGGTGGCCTGGCGTAGACGGCTTTGTCTTCACTCCAGATAAACATATCTGCGCCAACATGCCCTCTATTTGCCGTAAGCCCTTGCGGATCTTCTGCGCATCTTTTGACGCAATATTGTCAAAGGCAAGGGAGAGCAAGGCCTCCATCTTGAACAATGAAGCGTTGCTGTACAGTCGTGTCAGACTCGGAGTTTCAGATATATGCGATTGGGCGTCGATGTGTTTTGGGGGGTGGTGGTGGTGGATGTGGGAAATGTGGTGGAGATAGATGATAGTCGGAGCGACAGCACTTGAGACGTCAATCAGTACTAAAAGCTACAGATTGCGGAGAAGCATGTATTTTGAGCCGGTGTGGGCCGTGAAATTGGACGTCGTGCCTTGTGGCCTTGAGCGATTGGGTAGGTGCGTTGACATCGATAAATATCCGCGTTGCTATGGAGATGGCGCTCCCACTGATTCCGCCCCGAGCCGTGCACGATGAGCTTGGCTAGGTACAAGCACTGGAATTGTAGTCGACAACGCATTGAGCATTGAGCTGTCCACCATCGCCCCTGTTGGCTAAATAGCCTTTTGCAAGGAGGCAAGCACAAATGTGCAGATCGATCGATGGAGAGACAGATGATTTCGTCGCAATAGCAACAACTACCAAGCCCATCACGTGCGCGCTCTCTTTCACCGATCCGAAATAACATACCCCCCTGACTAACTTTGGTAATCTTCACTGGCGCTTGGCCATGCTTCCAGGAGCTGATCCCGACTGAGCAGTGATGCCATGGTGCCCTTCACACGTCCGAGACCTGTCATCTACCGGTACCTATCGATATCGCTTGCGATTCGCTTCCTCCCGCTTCGCTAGGATTCATCTCCACTACTGTATCTTTGAGCTAAGCCATTGTGGTGGTGGCCTACACACAAGGCCTCTTCAGCCTGTCTGTTACCGTAGCTTGTTAACCATGTGGCTTGTCATGGGTTTTCGCACATCACTCAATCTCATACGTCACATGTCTGATTGATCTTCCATGACTGCTCGTATGGGTTGTTGCTGCAATACTCTACTTCTTTCCAGTGTGCATTTTCCAGTCTCTCCCCAATAGCGTACACGAGGCTGTCATACCACACGAACACCTTGTTCCTTGCTTGAGGGCCTTGAGGAAGTACAGCCGCAGAAATCCTAATAGAGAGAACATGTTAGTTAAGTGATACGTATGCTACAAGCAGGTATACGGGGGGCAGTACTACTAATGAATTTCGTGCTGTAACGCTCTCACAACGACCACGGAGCCGTTATAGTATAAACTCCAATCCGGAACGAGGCGTGACACAGTCCCAGTCCATTGGACTGGCAACTATTACCTGAACGTACCTCTTCACATCTAATCTGCTGTCTAAACTCGTGGTTGCCCCTTAGCCTTGACCTTTGCCGCCAAGCATGTAGATTATTTCTCTGTGCTAAGTTCGGTTCGATGACCAGAGGTACAGCTGAGAGTGAAAAGTGGCTACTCGTAACATTCGACGGGATGGCATGCTGAACTGCGCCTTTACAAGAGAGAGAAAGCATGATTGTCGCTGATGGTCAGGCGCCCCGTACCGTGCCGTACCGGTACCGTACTGTAGCACTCGGCCCGAAAAGACTCCACTGTGTACTAGAAAAAAAATCACAACAGCAAAAAACATACAACAGCGGGGATTCGCCAGTGGTCACCCACCTGACTACTAATCCGCCGGTATCCTGCTTATATATGGCTGAGCGGACGGGAAGCCTAGTTTTCAAGATCCTATGGTCGTATGTTATAAGAATGCTTGAGATTTGCCAATATAACCTCCGTCAAACACCACCCTAAAGACCTCCACTGCCGCGCACTATCCGGATCTGGATCCAAAATGATACTCTGCAAGTTCACATAGACTAAGAATAGGGGATGAAATTTTAATAATATGATAAGAGATGGGTGTGCCTATTTTAAGTCAGATGCGGCATACCTTAGTGCACTTGGTTTCACAGTATTACCATCAAGGAGGGCACATTTACGGCATGCCCCATCATCACAAGTTGAGCGTAACACTGTCTGTTTATTTGATCACCTAGCGCCACCCTCTATCACCTATCAGCGACCACCGCACTTGGACGGACTGACTTATCCTACGAAGACATGGTAGACTACAACGATAGACTCCTGTTCGATTTCCAGCACAGAACCAAATACATGAAGAACGGCCTTACTAAATATCTCTTATCGTGTGCATTAAAGGGACTAGAATGTTGGTGAAGGAGAGTGACCAACCAGAACAGATACTAAAACTAGACTTTGGAATATAGTAGGATTCCTACAAACAGCAAGGACTATGCGTTGGCTGGCACGTTAAAATATAGAGTGTTCACTACTTGCAGCTAATAAAGCGATTGTAGGCACTATTCCAACCATGTAGGCTTTAATACAAGGACATAGTAATGTAGCTTCTATATTACCTGCTTAGTACACAAACATCGCACTCAAAGCTGGATCGGTGAAGAAATGCTGTACTCGCTTGCGCCACCTCCCCAGTATGTTTTATGCTAACCATCGGGACAATCCCTATGATGTACCTATTCGCCTCAGCCGAATAAACGCACTGACTTTGAACGCACCATAGACTTTGAGGACACCGACGAAACTTTTGTCAACGGCCCTTGGAAGAGGAATGTGTCGCAATATGATGATCATTCTCTAAAAATTCAATGTGCGTAGATTCATTTCAACATAGCAGAAGAATTGACCAAGGAGATTAGAGCGCGTAAACGAAGCGGTTCCAAAGTCACGCTCTATTCATTTCTAAACAGTAAACATAATTATGTCGTAAAGACATGTTGTTCTGATTAATAAAAAATCGATTCCTAAATACATAATATGCATAGATCGTAAAGACATGTTGTTCTGACTATCAAACTTTCGATTCCTGAACAAAGGATATGACTGTACGATGATATCGAAAAGACATGTAGTTCCAATGAATAGAAATTTGAATTGAGCCAGTCAATTTTTCAGATAACCCTCTCAAACAAGATATCAACGTCTCAACGAAATATCCTTGCTATCAGCGCCGGAAACAAACACTGAGATCATGTGCTATGCAAACCCACCGCGCCCTGATCCCATGACTATTTCACCAAACTACATGACCCTCCTCATAAATGTATATAAAAGCCTCATTGCAGAGAGACACAAAAAGCAACCGCATACTGACCGCTACATCGCTCTAGCAGGCAGTACGAGCTGAAAGGAACCGCACTCGACAGCCATTTGACCCCAAAGCGCGTCGACTTGACGGTGCCCGTACCTTGCAACAAACGCAATATATCACTTAACTAGCACCGTGAAAGCCCGCTGTAAAGGTAACTCGCGTCAACCTACTTGTATATAAACTGTACCTCTGCCACCCATACACCTTCATTCCTCTTCATCATATACTACATCCATTCCCCTACATCACGAAAACCACACGAAAAACCTTGCACTCTCCTACTGCACCACCAGTAACAAAAACTCCGACAATATCATCATCACCATGGAACACAAACGCCGCAAGATCGACCTCTTCGCGACTCACCGCGCCCGCAACGGCGGCGCAGACGATTCCTTCCTCGACCCAACCTCCAACCCAAACCTCAACCTCCCCTCCGGCTCTGACACAGAGTCTGAACCAGACCAGGAAGTCACGGCACAAAAGTACCTCAACATGAAGAGGGACGATGATGCCGATCGGCCTGTTGAAACGGTTTTTGGGCCGGATGTGAATTTGCGGCGGAGTAAGGGGGGCACCATGTATGCGGAGCAGGTGAGGGGGGATGGCGGGAAGAGAAAACGCAGGGCTTTGCGTGAGGGAGAGGATAAGGTAGAGGTGAGGATGGAGCAAGGCCGAGACAAGGCCAAAGACGATGGAATTGAGGAACAGAGTGGGAATCTATATCCTTCTCTCCCTCCATCCCTATTCACTCACCTCTTCCCTCCCCTGCCCGCCACAGTCTCCTTCTCAACCCCCCAACCCCCAGCTATCCCCTCCTCCCCTCCCATCTCCTCCATCCTCCCACCATTCCTCCACCCCGCCCGGAACCCCACAGCCACCAAGTTCCACCACAGCAGCGCCGCCATCGACCCGCGCGGCGCATACAACCGGCCAATCCGACCGCTGCCACGGCGCTCTGAGCAGAGCAAGGTAGATAAAAAGTCTGAGGCGGCGACTCAACGCATTGTCTCAGGCAGCTTCGAGAGCATCGGAGAGGATCTGAGGGGCGGAGATCGGTTTCGTGAGAGGGGGTATCGGTTGCAGCAGTCCCGGGGTGGAGGTGGGTTGAAGGAGACGGAGGTTAAAGAGAAGGAGGGAAAGGGTGGAGAGGTGGTGGACAAGAATAGTGACGAGGAGGGTGGTGGAAAGGAGAATGCCGCTCGGCATTGGCTAAGGAACTGGCTGAGGCGTTTATAAAGATGTTTGGGTCGCAGGAGATGTTGGGATTGGGATGGAGGAGAAGGCATGAAAGGTCCAGGACGTGGTGTTTTCCGGATCGATGATCTCAAGTCATCGCGCTACACAGGAGCAAATTAGCAGTGTGGCCGTTCAAGACTGTGTAGATAATATGCAAAAATGCCTCTTCAGAATGCTTTTATAGTCAAATGCGCCAATCAGTGATCATGCTATACAATGCAACATCATCCGTCATCTACTCTTCATCATCCTCCTTATTTGCTCTAGCTTCCCGCCACTGCTCCTCCAGCGCCTTCACCCTCTCGACTCCTTTCTTATTACCAACACCAGCCTCCCAAACTGCCCACTTTGCAAATACAGTCTGTGCCCGCTTCTTCTTCGTCGTCTTGGCCATGCGCTCGAACAGATTGCGAACATTCTCTGAGCTACCATGGCTCATCTCCAGACTCAGATACATGTCCCAAACGTCGCCCTTCTTGGGGTAGGTGCTGACCAAACCTTCGAAGATCGTGCGACCCCGCTCCGCATCACCATTAGGGCTCTTGAATTCGAGCGCAGCGAACTTTTGCGTGAGGTAGCGGTGTTCGCGTGATGGGACGGATTGGGTGGCGCGTTGTAGGAGAGCACGTGCGCGGGTTGGTGATGGTGGGGAAAGGACGTCCATGAGGAAAGCAGCGTACGAGAGCCAGAATTGCGGGTCGGGTGTGAAAGATTTGTTCTTCACCATCAATTGGTAGAGACTGTCTGCTTTCTGTAGTGGTTTTAGTAATGGCTAATGACACATTCAGGAGCGCACTTACTTCGAGCTTGCCAGAAGATATGTAGATCTTAATCATACGTTCATGCACCTCACGAGAGTCGTTGTGTTGACAGGCCTCCTTGAAGATCTGTTCCATAGCATCATCCGTCGCAAAGTCGTTCTCGAGATGCAATAGGGCAGTCCAGACATCAAGCTTCTCCTTCTCTTCCCGCGGGTTGATAGTAGCAAGCGCGCGTCGAGCAATCTGGCGCGCTTTTTCAATCTCACCAAGCTCACGTTGGAAGACCATATAGCGCACCCAAAGCTCAGCACTGTTTGGTTGTCCAAGAAGAAGGCGTTCGTAGTCAGCTATCGACTGTGGACCAAAAGCGTCGAGATCACCGGTCCGGTCCTCCTTGATAGTAGCCTTTTTAGACTTTTTGTTCTTCTTCTTGCTCGTGCCGTCGTCCGAATCAGACTCTTGCGCACCGTTTTGCTTGCCAAAGTCAAGGGTGGCACCAGTCCAGTCGAAGCCAGATGTGCTAAGACCAGGAGCTACAGACTTGACGGCTGCGTCCGACTCGTCTTCTGAGTCATCGTCATTGTTGAGGTCGATGTCGTCGCCGCTCTCAGCGCTCTTAACGCTCCTCATGTCGATATCGTCCTCTTCCAAATCTTCCTCAGACTCCGCATCATCTACCAGCTCATCATCTGATGCGTCTGCCATGTCCTCATCGCTGTCATCCTTGCCCTTGACTTGAGAGTACTTCAGCGTGAAACTGATTTTGCGAGTGTTAGAATCGACCTTGAGGACCTTGGCCTTCACGGCGTCGCCTTTCTTGTACATCTCCTTGACCTTCTCCTTATCGACAGGAGTGTCAGCTAATTGACTGACATGGCACAATCCACTGACGTTATTGGAGTTGGCAACGACCAAGAAAACACCGAAGTCTTCCACATGTCGAACAGTGGCCGTCACAATTTGACCAGCTTTCAAATTGCTGAATTCGATTGGCTCACTGTAGTCGGCCTGGATAATCGAAGTTTTCAAGCTCAACTGGGGATTACGCTGATCTGGCTTGTTGGAGATGACCTTTCCAGTAACCAACTGATCGACGTGGAATGCGGACTTCCAATCCTTGATATACGCGTCAGAAAGGTGACTGACACGGACATATGCTTCAACGTGCGGACCGAGACGGACGTAGACGCCGTTATCGGCAACGTGCTTGATGAAGCCACGGACAACATCGTTGACCTTGAGCTGAGCCCGGTCCTTGATCTCAGGATCTTTGATTGGCAGAGTAGAGCTCAGCACTCTTGATGGTCTTGCGGAGAGACTGAGTTTCTTGTTGGGCAAATCAATGTCAATAATGCAGACCCTCAGAATATCGCCAACTTTGAACTCGGATGGCTTGGCTTTGTCGTAGTCGTCCGCCAATTGCTCAAGGAAGATAGGAGCGGCGATCGTTTCGTTTATCTGTACGACGATTGATGCATCGTGCAGCTTTGTGACACGTGCAGGAAGCACATATCCCACTTTGAGATCCTGAAGCGTGAGGGCCTTCCCAGTCACCGTTGATGCTGCGGTAAGGTCTAAGCGTCCGGCGGCCACATCAACAGTCTTTACAGTGACCTTGAGAGCAGAGCCTACAGGGAAGTTCTCCTCGACAGATGAAAGCTGCTCAAGATCGTCGGTGAGATCGAAAAAGTCAATACGGCCACGGACGTTGGCTGAAATGTTCACCCAGACATAACGGTCCGCGATGTTATTGACAAAGGCGACGTGTGATGACCCGGGCGCAATCTTGTCAAGAGACAAGATATCTACCTCTGTGGGGAAGTTCTTCTTCGCAGACAGTTCGTACATTGGAATCTTGTTGCTTGTACGATGTGTGATGGGTAAGAAGCGGTGATTACGAGCGTCATGGCGACCCAGAACCTTGGCTTGCATCGTCTCATTCATCTTGAAGTGTGCTGTGGGTCGCTTCTTGTCTGGTATGTCGTCCCATGAGTCGAACAATTCTGAGACCGAGATCCGACCCTGCACATTCTTTGCAAGTTCAACATTGACTTGTGTGCCTTTCACTGACCGAATTCGAACGTTGACAGGTGTGCCATACTTGATGTCGCTGGTCGACATGATAGCCGGATCGACAGGCTCCTCCAGCGGTTGCCCTGCGTTATCGGTCGTTTTGGGGGCCACCTCGTCGGCGTTGGCCTCGAGTTTCATGGACAGCCAGAAGAAACCTTTGGCAGGATCCACGTGCGATACGCGAACTGTAACGGATTGATCTTTGCGGAGACCGAAGTTTGGCGCAGAAAGCATCTCCTCGGTTAGTTGTGACTTGAAGACTGGGCCACTAATCCCATTGCCAAGTTCGATGAAGACCTTGTCAGGCAATATGCCGCGAACGAAGCCATGCACGGTCTCACCAGCCTGCAAGTCCTCTACACTGATAGCAAGTTTCGAAGCTTGGGCGTCCTTTCGGAGGGTGGGCTTGTTGGATACCGTAACAGTCTTCGACTTGACATGCTTGGCCAGAACCACGAGGTCCTCCAAGACCCCACCAACACGAATCTTCTTCATGGTGGATATGTCCTTTTTCTCGGATCCGTCTGTCAAGTGACCAATACGAAGAAGTCCCTTTACACCGTTACCAAGATCCAGAGTTACTGCCTCGTCCGTCTTCTCAAGAACAGTCCCCTTGACAATGGCGCCAGGGTTAAGCGCGTTGAAGGCAGCTTCTTTGTTGGTATCGATTGCTGCAGGATCCTTGCATGAGACAAGTAGTTGACGCTCCTCGGGATTAACAGAAATGGCACGGACATTGACTACCTGGCCGGCAGAGAAGTGTTTTGTTGCATCCTCGATGAATGCCTCACTCATTTCTGCAACTGGTAGCCACGCCTTCACAGTACCGTAAAATCGTACTGTTGCGCCGTTTCGTCGCACGTTTGCTATGATTCCAGGACCGGCGGCGCCTTCCTTGATCATATTGTAGTCGGTCCAGGGGTTGATGTCGGAGTTGACCAGAGTTTTCTTTAGCGTAAGGTGGATCTGGTGTCTAGCAGGCTCAGTGTACAGAACTCTGGCCTTGACCGGTACGCCTTCTCGGAATTTTCGCTCGGGATGTTGCAGGCGTACGTCTGCGAGATGAAGTTCTGAGACCAGACCGGTGATGCCGTCCGCTAGGTGAACGAGCACAGCGGTAGCGCCCTTTTTATCGGCAATGAGCTTATGCACTTTTCCCTTGACTACCTGACCAGCCTTGATGTCTTCAATGCGAAGGAAAGGCTGGTCGAGGATCTTCTGCTCCAAGGACAGCTGGAAAAGCCCATCCATGTCGTTGTAACCGATAATGCGAGCTTTATGCGTAGATCCCAGTTTGAAGGCACCCGAATCCTCGGAGAGAAATTCGACCTTCTCGTCCGCAAGCCGTGAAATATGGGAAAATCCCACAACATCTCGAACACCAAGATCAAAGAATGCACCAAGTGCGGGTGCAACCTTGACCACCTTGGCATTCTCGATGATGGTTGATACCGGTAACAGTTCCAGTGGGGGCTTGCGCTCTTTTGGCTTACCTGACATACGAGTAGACAGCGACACTACGTGGTCAAGAAGCGATACGCCGACTTTCCTAGGCTCTGAGTCGGGGCATGTGAACAGAATCCGCCCCTTGACCTTGGAGCCAAGCTTGTACTTTTGCGAGACATCAGCACCCCTTTCGGTGGCTCCAGAGTGATAGGCATCCGCAGTGCAGTCAATCAACCCTAAAATCTTGCCTGTGATCGTGCTTGACGTCGAATCAGTGATCAGCACGTCGACAGCAGTACCAGGCAGGAAGACATCGATTGTAGGCGCATCGATGAGGGTATTGCCCTTGGCTAGGTTTCCTGCTTTGGCATGATCCGCCGATAGCTTGACAATGCGTCCATCAGGGTTGGTACCAGTAGCTAAACACATGAAGACGGCGCCTTCTTGGACTTTCGCATGCTGAACCTTTGGACCTAGCTCGCCCTTGGGCAGAAAGCCCTTGACTTTGGTGTCTCCCAGTCCCAGATCCATGACAAGACCGTGGTCTTCATTGCTAACGACAGAGGCCTGCATCATGCTGTTGACGGGTAATTTGCGCTTGGTAAGACCCTTGTTGACCAGCTTGGGGTCAATTGACAGTTCCAGCCTCTTCCTAGCTCTTGCGGTCTCTTCATTCGTGGAAGTGATACACGCCCTAAGATACTGGCCAACAGAGAACATGTCCTGGAGATCTACATCTTCAAAGTTTCCGTCGTCGCTTCCATCCTCCTTGTCTGTGTCGTCCTTCATGAGCTGCTCAAGGCGTTCGTTGAGCTTATCAGATATTGCCGTAAGAGGAACATAGCCAACAAGGTTGTTTGGGAGTGCGAGTACGATGTCTTGCTGGGTAACCTCGGTGACCAGACCGAGAACCATGGTGCCAGGCGTCAATCGCTGCTTCAGTCAGCGAGGCGTGAAGTCCAAGTCCAATCGAAGCTTACCTTGTAGCTCAGACCCTCAGCGCGAATGGTGGGTTCCTTATCGCCGTCCTCCTGCGACTTCTTGCTCTTCTTGAAGGTCTTCTTCTTAGCAGATTGTTTGGCAGCCTCGTTGTCGTCCTCTGATCCCATATCGCTAAAGTCATCGTCGCCGCCGCTTGTGCGCTTGATCCCAGCCTGTTCAAACAACACATCCTGGTTCGCTCTGATCTGGATCTGCTTGTGCTCGAGAGGCGTCAACACACTCGCGCCGCCTCTGGGGAAGACCTTTTCCTCGTCTTTGAAGACGCTCTTGGGTGCTTCCGCCTTTGGCTTCGCAGCGGAGTGCTCAGACGTCGCGTCTGACTTGGGGCGCTTTGCTGAACGGTCACCTGACGCGCCCTTTTCTTTCTTTGCAGGCGCGCTCGGCTGCTCTGCCTTTCGTTTCACTGCGCCCATGTTTGCTTGTCGGATCTGGGCTTCTGTGAGACTACATGCGGTTCTAATGTCAACCTTTTGCTGCCAAGAGTTCGAGAAAATTATTATGGGGCTCCGGCGGCCGAAGTTCCGATCGGGGAAGGCACGAGCCAAGCGCGCCAAACCAAGCTAGGTGGGTGCCGGTACTTTACACGTCCACGCCTGGCGCGCGAGAGAAGGCGCGACCGCGCGCGCATGCGCTATGACCGCCACGCCCCAACCTCGCCTCGTTCTCCACCAGGCGTCGTATAACTGCTGCCATCCATTGCTGCTGCTGCCATTGCTGCTGCTTGTCGTGCCTCGCTCTATTTCGAATGCCCTGCTGCTCTTGATTTCCAATTTCCCATTCCCTGTTGATACCTAATTGCATACATAGGCCCTGCCAGCAACATGTCTTCTCCCTGTGCCCCTCGCAGCATGTTGTTCCAGGAGCCCACACCCGACATGCTTTCATCGCCGCCAGCACCCAGCGCGACTGCGTGCTCACGAAAGCAGAAGCGACCACCGCCCATCACCCCAAAACGCTTCACTCGCTTCTTCACCCCACGTGATTCCAAAAATGTCTCGTCACGCACGCACCTCTCTCGCTCTGGCCGCCAATTGCAGGACATCACTCGATCCGCTCTCAACCGCAGCCATGAGAAGCAGAAGAGCACGCCCAAGAAGACGGTCAACTTTGTCGATATCGAGAACCCCATACAGACACCCTCTTCCAGCTCTCGTAAGCGAAAGGGTCCCTACCTGTCGCCCGATACTTCGCCAGCACAGTCGTCGCCCTCGAAACGATCGCGTTACGTCACTCCAGAGGCCATCGCGATACTCGAGGACTCGCCAGCATTTGATGAGCCAGCCATCTACCCTGCCCCCATTCGACGAGTAAAGACTCTTGGAGGAGCCTCAAGAACACTGCAGCGATCGTTTGGCGGGATACTGAGTGTGGGAAGAGGGTTTCGGAGAGACCATTGTTCATCATGGCAGGATCAGACAGCAAATTTCTACAGTGGCGCGGAGGACATGCATCAATTACCTCAGGGAGCGCCCCCTTTCTGCACAGCTAGCTGCAACACCAACTCGATGCTTGCAATTGGTGACGAAGACGGATATGTCCACCTGCTCGACTCTGCAGGCGATTTCACCAAAGCCCACGTCTCATGGAAAGCACACTCGAACGCCATCATGGACGTTCAGTTCTCTTCAGACGACATGCATCTTGCTGCAGGATCTGGCGATCAGACTGCACAAATCATCGACGTTCGCACCCAACAGACTCTTGCTGTGCTTGCAAAGCACAAGTCATCGGTCAAGCAGGTTCGCTTCCAGCCAGGAGATGACAAGATCGTAGCTACTTCGAGCCGTGATGGTGCTGTACAAGTTTGGGACTTGCGATGCAAAGGTGGTCAGGCTTCTGTACACTCGGCCTGGGGCTCAGATGCACCATACGCTAGCGTCATCCGTACCTTGGCTTCAGCACATGCAGACAACAGCGTCACGACGGCAAATGGAGCTTCCACTTCGGCTACAAGAAGTCTCGCAAACAGCAAGACAGAAAGTATCAACCGACGCAACGACATTTCAGTCACTGCACTCTCTTTCCTACCAGAGGGCCGCCAACATCTTCTCCTGACCGCTTCAGACGCATCAACCTGCGTCAAACTTTGGGACATTCGAGGGCGATACTCGCTACGTGGACCAGCCATTCCCATTTCTACTACTCGACACCCAGAATCACATCACCGCCATCGCCACTTCGCCATTAACTCTCTCACCCTCAATGGCGATGCCTCCCGACTATACGCCCTCAGCAAAGACAATACTGTCTATGCCTACTCTACCAGCCATCTCATTCTCGGTGTAGCTCCCGAACTATCCTCTACATCATCATCAAAACAAAAGTATTGCCAGGTAGGCCAAGAAGGTCTCGGACCTATCTACGGCTTCAGACACCAGAACTTCCACGCTGGGTCTTTTTACGTGAAGGCATCCCTCCGAAAAGCAGCAAGGGATCAGCCAGAGCTACTGGCCGTTGGCAGTACAGATGGCTGTCCTGTACTCTTCGCGACCGACGAAACGTTCCTTAAGCGCGAACCACAGCATGATGATGATGACGCAGACGATCTCCCAAACTTTGATATCAATCCTCGCAAGTCAGCACGACTTTCATTACTACGATCATCGACAAACACTCGATGTCCCGATACTATTCCTATCTACGAGCATGGTACTCCACTTATCCGGGGTCACGACGCGGAGGTGACCAGCGTCTCATGGGCACAGAACGGCAGTCTCATCAGCGTAAGCGATGACTTCCGCGTACGCCGGTGGAAAGAGGGGAGAGAGGCGCGCGAGCTGAGAATTGGGGGTGAGGGAGAAGGCAAGAGGTGGCAGTGTGGCTGGGCTGCTGTTGACGAGCACCATGATGATGAGGAGGAGTAACAGCAAAAGCAGAAAAGATTGTTTTAGATGTTTGTGTTGTTGTATTTTATTATATACCCCATTTTAGCGTTTGCATCCAACGAGCGTGGCGATGAAGATGAATAAAGACTATTTCTGAATACTTAGTTGATCCTTGGAGCTACGATTGATATGTCAGTCTGAAGGAATGAAACCTGTAGACGAAGGAGCACAAGATGTTGGGACACAAGATGTTGGGACCCGTACATGATGATAAGTGGATTCATACAGTGCAACGAAGCATCAAAGCGAGCAATTCTGTCATTTCATATACCACAGCATACATTGCCACCAACTCGCTATACTTCCACCCCATCACCCCCTAAATATCCACCACCTCTCAAGCCCCCAGACCTCTCAAGACCACACCACACCCTCCTATCCTCCTCCTACTCTCTAAGCATTCCCACACATATCCTGACCACACCCATTCCTCGCCCAAACACCAGTGTTAAACGTAACACAGCGGCCAATGCCCGTCGCCTTGCGCCGACTGCATCCCGCGTCGCCGCAGATGATGTAGGGCCCGCAGGTGCTGCTGCAGGACCACTGGTCGCCGCTTACCCAGAGAGCGGAGAAGGAACCTGCTGGGCCACTGGGGGGTTGGTGGGTTAGTATGGGTGTGTGTGATGGGGGTTGTATGGAGGGGAGGAGTTAACGTACCCAACAGTGGTGAAGGAACCCGGGCGCGATTCACCAATGTAGTTTTGGCAGTTTGTGTCCGAGTAGAAGTTAACCTGGCCAGCGGAAGCGAGGGCCGCAGCGGCAGCGGTGAGGAGGAGAGTGGTGAACTGCATGTTTGGATTGGTGTTTTGGGTTTGACGGTTGCTTTTGTTGCTGAGGAGAAGATGTGTTGATGTTTCTTTGTGGATGATGGGGTAAAAATAAAATGCTCGAGTGTCTCTGCTTTATACTCTTTTTCCTCCCCTTTCAGCCCCCCATCCCCCAACCTCACGATGCAGAGTATACGACGCCGGAAGATTTTCACACCGCGGTCCTTCTTTTTTTTCTCTCCAAAGGACTCCACACTCTCCACCATCTCGTGGCTAGATCCCACGATGGTTTCTCCCAAAGTAGGGGTTTGGGGGTTGGTGGTGCTGACGCAGCGAGCACTACAATCGTGCTCAATAGTCGTAGTAATTTATCTTGCAGCGCGCTAACCATATCGGGTCATTGTTAGTAAGGCTTCAGCGCAGGTGATGCTGGGCAGCACGATCCGTAGGATTGTGGAGTCCTTAGTCATGACCGATGTGCTGGAGGAATGTCAAGTCCAGAACGCGAATCTTTTTTTAGACAAGGAGATGCGGGAAAGTGGGTTAGGGGACTGAGATGAAGGAGTTGAGTAAGCGGTTGGTCTACCGAGGGAATTTCTTAAAGCCTCGAATTATTGTGATAGTTCTTAAAAGGTGATGGTTTTTATTTGTGGTTGGATCGGGTTTCCTGCTGTTCGTGGAAATGAGATGGTGTCTCAGATCAAAATGGCGAGTTGTGGAGTCGTACATACCGGTAACGCCCATTGCTTCCACGCTTTTTTCAGTATGCAAAGTAACGTGATCACAAGGGGAATCCCCCATGACCTGCTAACAGATCTCAGACTAATTCGATACTCTCCAGCTCTTTTTCAAGACCTTTCTTCCAAGCTTCGCCCTGCATCATGCCATGCACATATGCATCACCCACCACATTCCATCGCTCGAGCATTTCACTCGAAGCACCGGCCTCTGACCCAGTAGTCTGCGCTTTCCGCATGATAAAAGGTACCCTAGCTCCCTGCAACAGCCAGACAGCATCCCCTAATTCACTTCCAGCGGGCACCAAAGCAAAGTAACCTTTTTCAGTGCGTGCAAGGCGACGAGAGTGCAGCTTGTGATCTAGAGCCATGCGGAATCCATGCTCCCAGCCTTGTGCATCAGGCACACTGATTGGAGAAGAAGGTCGATCCGGCTTGACTGACTCGCAGTGTGGGTATAATCCGTTCAGCCTGCGCACAGTATCCTTGACATAGAGGCAGTCAGGGTCTGGCGAGATGCTAGGCTGCTGGTGGGAAGAATCTGCATGTGTAAGATTGGCGTTACATGTGCAAGTCTTAGACTCCAGTTCGCGCAATTCGGTCCATGAAACTATGAAATTACTAGAATCCGTCATGGCGAGGGCATCCATATCCTGCAGTAAAGACAAGGCCGAATTGTCATAGGACATGTCTTTGTTGCTCGTGGCAGAGTACCACTTCAGTCGATGTAGCTCCCGAATGATCGCAAAGCCAGTGTCTCTACGCACTATGGCTGTGAACTCAGGCAAATGTCGCTTGCTACTAAACGGCACGTTGTTGATCTCACCAGCCACCAGAGTCTGGAAGAGTGCTTCTCCCCGTGCTTGACCTGTGAATGGGTAGATCTGGGGCATTTGTAGTGTCATTGATGCCCATAGGCGGCAGTCAATGCCAAAGCCTTTTTCTTCTCGCGTCTGAGCTAGTTCAATGATGCGATCTGTATTCACGCCCCGTGCAGGCAATACATGGGCGTTTTCAGGAGCTAGTGATACTGCAGTTTGGATGCTTGAGCCCTCGGTTGCATCGTGCACTATTGCCGTGAAAGCAAGTTCCTGTTGATTAATGGTGTTCTCAAGCTCACCTATCCATGTAGGCAAGTTCGGGAAGCGGCGATCTGCCTCATCGGCTACCCAGCTAAGGCAGTTCAAAGTTCGAGACTCGTTGATCCAGTATCGAATTGCGTACCCGTAGACTAATTCAAGCGGCTGCTCGTAATCTGGTCTCAGCTTGAAAGTCTCGTGCGGTAGCAGACCAAGTAATGAGTAGATTTTGTCTCTTGGATCCCGACAGCCAGATACTCGGGCGAGTGCTAGTAGATGCGCAAAGGTAAGGAGTGGCTTTGGTGAAAGTGACTGCGGTCTTTTCATGAGCTGCTGGCGGTGCTGCCACAGTTCAATAATCGCTCTCTCGTGCTCGAAACCACGTGGACCTTTCATAGGAAGAGACAGAGCTTGTCCAACAGAACCATCCGGACGCAATTTCCTGACCGAAGAGACGAAAACTGCCACTTTGTGCAGGTCGGAAAGTTGAACCTCTTGAGTGCCACAGAGCATGCACAACTCTTTCCCTAGCATCAGTTCTTGAAGCACCCAGCAACGGAAGAAGTATCGCCGCGCGAGGAAACGGACCAAACTCTGATAATGCCGGCTTCCAATCGCAACAATTTCTCTCGCATCCGCTTCGCCCAGACGTTCGGTAGAGATGTCATCAGGATTCGTTTCTGTGAAATCCGTGTTCACCCAGTGACGTCGGTTCAAGGTTATTGAATACTGTGGCGCAGCAGAGTAGTCGTTGTTAATATTTTGAACACATTCCAGATTTTTTAGACGCTCTATCAACGGAATTGCCAATTCGCTAGCATCGTCCGCAGGTCCAAGCCATGAGATGACAAGAGATGCCTTTCCATATATTCTGGCCATCATATTGACTTGCGAGCTTCGCTCTCTGGTATCAGATTGGTTTATCGAAAGGAAGTCTACCCACAATCGTGGATAGCCAGTGTGTGATCCAAATCTCGTACGACTACATTGCGATATTGTTTTCAATGCAGTCATCAAATTGTAGGTCACCATGACTTTTATGCCATTGCATACAATTGGCACATTGTTGCTCCAGCGCTCGGAACCTTCTCCATCCCACCAGTTTCGAAACAAAGGGTCGCCCCAAGTATAGGAAAGCGCGTGATAGTTCAACTTCTGGTCTTCGAGACTTTCCACGCGCAATGTACAAGATAGTACTGCATCGTCGGGCTCGACTCGTGGGTGTATTTCGAGGAGGCGGATAGAACTCGCTGTAGGAAGAGGACTGTAAAGTCCCGGTAAAACTTCGAAACTTGGTGATTTCATTATCTCTGGTGAGATGGTATGACCAGTTCAGGGCAGCATTTTCATATGATGCCACTCTAAGAGGATGTCGAGGTCGATGCATCGTGAAGGTGCAATATTGCCCAGTTTTGTGGAGGGGTAATTGCTGATTGGCATTGCTGCTAGTCACCTAAGTTACCTAGAGCTCCCGTTTCGATCCTGGTTGGGAGACTGGGCTTGTGCCAAGGCGCGAGATACCGGTACTACCTCGATCTATCTCGTCTTTTAAGCACTTGCTGCTGTCATATCTCCTGTCCATCGACAGTACATTCAGCAGATGCAGTTTGCTAGGTGTTACGCACGATGTAGATCGCAAGTTGACTAACACTACAATCTTTAGTAATCAGTAAGACTAGCTTTCACAAGGATTTGCCATCCGCCATGCAGACAAGCGGCCGTTCATGACCAATCTTCCTGCAGAATGCATTGAAGTCAAAGAACTTTGACGCTATCACCACATGATAGTAGCTTGAACAAAATCCTTTACAAGGCACAGTGTATTCTACATGTTTGCTGATTAGAAGTACCTTGAGTACCTACGGTATGGTAGCTTGCCACCAACGCTAGGAGGATCTAACATCTAGGTACCACTGCCCCCTTCCTTGACAATCCAGCCTAACTGCCTTCAGTGTTCTGTCTCTCCTGCCTGATAGTATTGCAGGCTATGCATGAACTCGGATCGTTTTCATGAATAACTAGATATTGTTTTTTGTATAGCATACACATCCACAACGGAAATGAACCAGGGAACCTCTCACAACGCTCCAATCGCTGAGATTGTGGGATCACATGCTTGCATGCCGCATACTCAATCCAAGACTCAGAACACATATTTTGATAAGAGCCGCAACCGTGATCACGTCGTGTGGGCCGCTGCTAGAGAATAATATCAAAGATGTTCTTAACTATATGGACACTTCCAATGCGCAGTGTTTCAAGATTGAAATTTGAATATTTTTTATGAAGCTTATGGTGCAGAGTAGAGGCATTATTGAAATGCAGCGTTCATGGCATTATATAGGTGCTTGAAGTCACAATCTGCAAGCTGTATTGAAGACGATGAATCACCGCTAGCTTGTCTCCAAGGCACACAACTTCCCGTACCGGAAATGGATGCGTCAATTCTTCCATGAGCTACGGGAGTCATGTTTAACATAATGACCAGTACACTAATATTACTCTTAAAGCTCCCCCCACCTGTCGCTACACTCACTTCCAGCTACCACTGTCCACGCCATCGCACGCATCACTGTTCCCGCGTACAAGCCACACAAACCTCCTCGGATATCTGTCCTCTCAGTATCTGCAAGAACTTGCAATTCGAAATGATTTTGGGGTATGGATTGTGTCGACAGCGATCAGTCTCGCTGACCCTGTGTTGGCAACGGTAATCAGTCCATTGTATCGTGCACATTATCGTGCACATCTTTATTTCCGCCGATTGCTGCGAATGCTTGATTTATTCGTCTGCCGTTGTTGGGGTTACACTCTGCTTTGGCGTTTATCATTATGAGGAATAATGACTATCTCCACAGATATATACCATGACACATTCACTAAGAGTGACAAACCCAAGAACAAGTCAGCAACTTAAACACTCCTCAGTCATGTCGTAGAGCATTCACAACATGCCATACATTATTTCCCTACCCCAAAGCCTCCCCCCAAAATAAGTGATATATTCCTATCCACTTTCCGAGCTTCTTCCTACTATTCCCGGCTTCAATATCCCTACCGCACATCCACGTCCTCACCCCTTAGCACCACCCACATATCCCTCATCCTGCACAACGCCTCCAGCAGTACACCTTGGACAGGCCCTCAACTCCTCAACACCCCGTGCCTGCAAGCCCTGGAAATTCTTACATTCCCATATATTACCATAGTGACTTGTCAGCTCCGTGCAGCGGAATATCCGTCTGCTACCTTGTAGCTCATGGCCACAGTCGCGGTAGCGTTTGAATGTTATTTTGCACATTTTCCTTCTTGCAAGGGTTACAAATTGTTCAATGTTTGGTGCTTGTGGGGTAGAAAAGAACCTGGTCGATATTTTTTGTTAGGGGAGCTTTGAGAGTGCAGATAGAGGTAGTACGTATGGAGTGAGTCGGCCTTGTTCGAGAAGATGTAGGGCGTGTTTTATTCACGTGCTGCAGATGTGACAGGAGCTATAGACTAGACAATATGATAATAAGGTTGCCTGAATCATTCTACTCGCGATAATCCACATTCACAGATAGTCACAAACTGTACATAGCATTGTTGCTTAATTGACATAATAGGAGTGGACCTACGCCCTGACAGGAATTTCGAAACACTGCGCAAAATTCCTGTCTTGAATGTGGAAGTAGTAAATGAGTGGGGTCTATTGGGATTTGAAGGGCAGATTATTGGCACGAGCATTATACATTGTATCAGGGAAAGGGCCGATGCTGAAGACGCTCTGGATATTCTGTGAGTGTACACATGAAGTAGTTACCTTCGTAAGTTGGAATGTGTTTGTCAATTATCTGGCTATAGACTTCGTGGTAGATTGATAGAATCTACTAGATGCCGTGAATTTGTTCAACGGTTTAATGGTGTTCTTGCTTAACTGCCTTGAATTCTCTTGAGATCAAACAGAAATTCATATGTACACATGTCTTAATTGTAAGCAATGAGGGCATTGAATCACTTATGTACTGGTATCGTCTGATTTTGGATATTCTATACATGGCCTGTCCATGGGCCTATGTAATAGTGATGTTCGTTCGGAATCATGATACAGTCGAAGCCTTCTCCATTTCCTCAAGCTGCTTCTTCGCCGCCCATTGCTTCTCGACATTAATCTTCTTCAAGATCTTATCTGCGCCCTTCTCAATCAATTTCAAGGCAACTTCTCTGCCCATAGTTTCCGCTTCTTCAGCAGATCGAACCTTTTGTGCGACTTCGTACTCGACTGACTCAGTGCCGTCAACGCTGACCACCAAAGTCCTGAGAACAAGCTCTTGATCATCCACATGTGGTTCTTCCTCTTCGACAGCGTTACCGTGCTTGTCATAATCTCTGGCTGGCTGAGCGCCTGTTGTCAAACCACGACCGCCACGCCATGATGTCTCCACACCAATGGGGACACTGCATCCTCCTTCCAGGGTGCGCAAGAGGGCTCGCTCCGCGGAACATGCTCTTGTAGTCCTCTCACATCGGATCTTGCTGAGAAGCGCCTTGGTAGATTCATCACCTTTTCTAATCTCGATTCCTAGCGCGCCCTGTCCTACTGCATGCAGCATACCACCGCTAGTACTGCTCAGATACTGGGTAATCCGGTTATCAAGGCCCATACGCTTCAAACCAGCAGCGGCTAGTATGATGGCCGAGTATGGTGAATCTTCAGCATCTAGCTTTGCTAGTCGCGTGCCAACATTGCCCCGCAAGTCGGCAAATTTTAGATGAGGAAACAGCTTTCGTAGTGTAGCCGAACGCCTGACAGAGGAGGTTCCTATTGTGGCGCCTTGAGGCAGTGTGGCTAGGGTGGTCTCTTTGGGCAGGCGTGGGGAAATGAGAAGAGCATCGCGGGGATCTTCACGCTCGAGGATGGCGCCAAGTTCGAGGTTGTCTGGTAATTGCGTGGGCATATCTATACATTTGTCAGCAATGGTCTTCCACAAGTCTCCGTGCCATCTTCTTACCTTTCAGGCAGTGCACGATAAGGTCCAACTCGCCCGACTCCAGCATGCTTTCTAATTCACCGGTCCACAGACTCTTCGCATTCTCGCCTCGACTCAGCTGTTGCAAAGGTGTCGTCTTATCCCTGTCTCCCTGCACCACTACTGGGCAGATGTTGTACGTCCTTTCCGGGTGCGCCTCTTTGAGGGATCTCTCAACAGCACGTGCTTGGATCTGAGCAAGCACCGAATTGCGTGTGCCAATGTTGATGGGAGGAAACTGCGTACTCGCTGATGTATTCAAGCCCTGGGGAGTCGCCTCAACAGGCGCGTGTAGACCCATGTTAGTTGCTGAAGCCATATTGATTTCGGTTTTCTTGAAGGAGTCTGGGTGGTGAATGGTGTTGAAGTGATGTTAGGGAAAAGTTCTGGCCATTGGCGGGATGGGGGGAACGTCATGCCCGAGGAACCCCACTAGCGTCAGGTACAATCAACCACCGTAATGTCAAATCCTGCCATCTCCGAATGACTTCCGACTAACTTTTTTCCAGCAGGCTTGAACTAACCCTCTTTTTCATATTCCCAGACTCAAACTAATGAACGTGACCTTCTGATCATCACAATGTAGGTAGGGAAGGTACTAAAGAGCCCCTCAGAGATGCGAATGACGTCATCCTTGTAGCAATTTGTTGGCATCAACTATCTGGACTGCTCGTTTGATTCATTATAGATGAGAGGAAGATGCAGTAGTCGCGTTCTGTTATTGTGCTTGAATACCAAAGGGCGGATGATACATACCGCAGGTTCGATTCATCATCCTTCACTACAACCCTTGGTGTCAATTGACAGTATGACAATGAGGAATTCCAAAGACTACAAGGCCATGTCCAAACAGTGACAATCAACCTAGAGTACTATCACGCTGTGCAGCATCACAAATGCAAAAAAACGCGAGATTTATGTGTAATGCCTCTTGATCATTTATATACAATTGCACTAGGATGTTACAATTCCTCCTCATGCTAAACCGATACGCTTATTTATCGCCAGTGTCATGGATCACGTTGGGAACAGCACGTTCAACCGACTCGGGAAGCTTCTCCTGGATCTTCTTGGGGACGATCGACGCATCACCACCGTCCTTTGCGTGGGTCTGGTTGGTGCTCTGGTTGTTTGGGTTTGAGCCAGTGGGGTGAACCTTGATTATTTGCATCAATATTGTAGCTCTCAACAAGAATAAGAAGATAATAGCACCTACACCTTCGGGAAGAGCATCCTCAAGACCCTTGGGCGCAGCCTCTTGGACCTTGTTGGGAACTGCAGACTCGCCGGTGGCGTGGGACGCGCCCTGTCCGTGCTGGTTTGTGGAAGACATTCTGATTGAAGTTTGTTTGAAGAGCGCTGGTTGCTGGAGGAATGGACGAGTGATGGTACGGAGTTTGAGAGCGACGGGCATGGTGATTGAAATATGAATTTCTGATGAGAGACAATTGCTATCAGGGAAACGTGGTTATGTACAGAGATACGTATCTATTGCACGCGACATTTACAGCTGACGCTTACATGTTGGGAACGTCGTCATTGTCGCCCTGGCTGTGGCGCTGAAATGCAACACGAGCTACCGCGTTCGGTTGATGGCACGTTTCTTTTGATGGAGTTGTGCAGTGAGCGTGGCGCGACAGATGTCCCGCAACTAGTCAAACTGCAATAATGCGGTCATGTTCACTGCCAAGCATGACCGCTTCATTTCTATGTCTCTCCGCGGACCCCTTGAAGCCAGATCTTACAGGTAGTTTGTAATTCAAGAAATGATTTGGTACTTAGTTTAGGTGACTTTGCGGTTATGATCCTGGAATTCAATCATGTACCGGACTGAAAGAGAAGTCGTTCTCGGGGTTTGAGGCGCCCGAGACCTCCGTTAAGTCCAACCACTCTCCACACATCGTTAATGATCCTTCATCTACATCATTGATAATATTTAGACACCGTATTCTAATCTAAGCTGCATGCAAATGACAAGTTGATACGCCACGACCTTGCTAGAGTTGCTTTTTGGAAGCCCTGGAGTCGCCACTAAAGCACATGAGACCATCATCCCATATCGAGCGAAACATGACTTGCGAGTCGACATGAACCGATATTCCAATGCTAGATCTACCCGGGGAAAATCACACATGAAAGAACTCCTGCAAAATCCGCTGTTTGCCATGTTCATCCGATTGTCCCACCCACCTTGCTGGAAGAAAACTAGCCCAGAACCCTCCGGCACGATCCATATCAGCACTTATTACGCAACTAGCCAGCCGTGACCGCTCCGACGGCCAGCCTGTTATGGGATCCAGTTCACGTTCCTCAATGTCGATGGCTCGCTTCGCTACTAGGAGATGCTGCTGGGCATCCCACAAGCCTTCACGAGGTGGATTCTGCGCGAGGATAGCTACGGCTGTGCGGCGCGTAACGGGGCAGCGACAGCGTGTTGAGACGAGGAATAATGGAAGGATAATGCACATCTCAAAGGTGAAGTGTGCGCCATGTGTGGTGGTGCGGGCTCGGTATTCCATGACGACTTTTGCGTGGTGCAGAATTTCTTTAAACTCCTCCAGGTAGATATCAGATTTGACTTCGCAGCGGTCCAGAGAGCATGCGGTAAGGATGAATGTAGTATAATGTGACAATTTCATGGAACTCAAGGCGATTTTCTCCTCCGAGAACACCGCATCGCGCTCGAGCTCCTTGGCCTTCTCAAACCAAGCAAGATGCGAATCAAGGAGACAGTCTCGGCGTTGACAATCCTCATCCGTTGGTGACTGACGATGTAGGCTCTGTTGACTGGTTGTGCGCAAGTGGAGTATCGCTGAGTTTCGTAACTCGTAGCAGGCCTGATGTGCTTCGTTCAGGTCTGCAAACGATTTTTGATGGAGTAGCGATGGCATCAGCGACAGCACGTCCAAGCTGTCAGTTGTAGTTACGCCATACGTTAATGCTGATGCTATCCCGCGGATGAATATGGGTACAAGTGTATTTTCCACGACAGATGTCGAATTGGGCGTTGGTCTGGGGAATTTGTGGAAAGCCACAGGGTGTGGTGCTGCAATGTAATCGCGTTTCAGATACTCCAGTGGCATAGGATCGGTAAAGCGACTACTTTTGGTAATTTGTGTGTTCTCATCGATCATCGTCGTACTTGGTAAAGATTTCTTAGTTGCAGTCGCATTTTCTTCCTGTCTCTCCGTGATGATACCTAGACCATTCTTCATGTGCGTGAAAGCTGTGTGGTAGTTACCCCGTAGATATTCCATGCAAACGAAGAGTAAACAGGTCACCAGTGCGACTTCACACGAATGGGCAGTGTCCGTCATTCGCGAGACCAGTGCTCTGACTGCCTTGTTATACTGCGACAGAACGAATCTGTAGTCCTCGTCGACTGCGAACTTGGCCCGAGCATGCTTCATGCTGCCGTGCTCGGACTGACAGAGGAAACCGAGAGCGACCAGTGCATGGCGTACGGCAGATTCCGAGTGAGCCATTTGAAGGACAATCTTGGACCAAAAATCATTGTCAAAATGGCTGGAGAGCGAGCGTCTGGCACAGCGATGGTAGAATTCAAGATAACGAACGTTGTCGCCAAAGTCGGCAAAAGCTCTGGTGGCGTTGTAAGGACCAGGCGTGTGGGCATGGCTCCAGATATGGATTTTGAAGTCTTCTTTTATTGGTGCATAACCATCGCAATTCCGGCCAGTACTAGAGCACCTAAGCAAGTCAGCAAAGTCAATTGATTAATACATTCAAATGATAGACTGTCTACCTGTTACAGTTTGGTTTCGTTTCGTCACATTTGACATGTCTTATCCTGTCAGATGGATGTTATTATCAAGATATTCCGACCAATTGTAGACCAATAACGCGTTCTACGTACTTGCACGTCTTGCAGCCCGTCTTCACTTTGGGCGTACGCCTGCGTGTCTGCCCGCGAGATAGAGCCCCATCAGCCAATACCATTGTGCTTCAGCAGCCAGCTTCGTTCCAGAGATGAGGATGTACATGATGATTTTGCCAGGGAGATGTCCTTGATAAAGGTACAGAACGAAGTTGGCAAGGTACGAGGCTTAGCAAGGTGTATGCGGTCGAGGCCACCTCCTACAGTCACGTGTATTTACGAGCGAGCCTATCACAAGACACGAGACCCGCTTTTGATGAGACGACTTCTCTTTAGGCGTACCGTCCCGTCGACCTTTGCACACGCATGCTTGGCTGTCGCTGTAATGGATCGAGACTGTGGAGTATCTTGATTCTATCATTCTATCATGCAAACAAGCTTTTGAATTCAAAATCCATCACATCATCCTCCACGTCGGTATCATCGTCCGATTCATCGCTCGTACTACCCTCCTCTCCGTCCGCAGCATACGACTCATCGAGCAGTTCTGTCCTTAGCTGCTTTACACTTTCCCTTGTCATTTGCCATTCCTTTAATTCGCACAGGTAGCGCTTCATGTCATGTCTGAATCCATCTATTGCCTCCATTTGCCCCTTCACCAATGGGCCCCTTAACAAAATCTCCCTCTGATCCAACAATATGCTTCCGCAACCGAGGGAAATATTTGGGAGTTTCTCCACCAAAATCAGAGAGTGCCAAGGCTCTGTACTGGTTTGACTGTCCTCGATTTTATTGTGGTTCTTTCCTTTCGTCCACCTGAATTTCAAGTTCTTGACGACCATCGGCTCTTTCGTTTTTCGCATTTTGTGTTTGCACATGACAGAAATGCAGAATGTCAGAATCTTGGCCAATTCCTCGATTTTGGATTCCTCCATGACTTTGAAATTACGGAGACGTTTTTCGAGGTGGCGTTGGAGAGCTTTAGGTTCGTCGATGAAGGATTCGGAGGAGGACATGTCGGCAGATTTTTCTGGGATAAAGATTTGGTATATCACGGAATGTAGTATAGTAGAAGAAGAGCAGTATATGGAAACTCCTACCGTAGCCTTTGCCTGCCCTTTATATAGGCACTCTTCAGAGTCACTGGTAGCAGTAATTGAAGATACAGTCATATAGATGGGGTGTGGTCCTACTCACAATCATGACACAAAGAGATGACAGATTCCGAGAACCAAAATGTACTGTCCTTCTGCGTCATGAGAAAGCGTAGGTGGCTCAGGTTCTACCTAGCATAACGCAGTCCACTCATGTGTAGCGTCTCCGATGTCATAGCAGCTAGATAGGAAGATATTGAATATATGGTCGAGGTCTATGTTCTTTTTTTTTCTCCTGATTGTGTGATCCGCACGACATGTGTGTGCAGCCAAGACCAAGTGTTCAGCCTCCGCATATGGTCGACTCCCCTCATGTCTGTGGGGTTATAAAGACTCTGCACCATACCAAGGAATGGGAACTCATTCATCTAGTACTTACACGCTTGCTTGAAATACTTTTAGACTCATCTTTGACTAGAAATCGAAGAAAATATCAAAAACATGTAGTTCCATTAAAGAAAGAAAACAAAAAGACAGGAGCCAACAGTTTCCGCCAACGCAAAAGCCTGCTTACATCGCTCGAAGACTATTGCCTATGCCATGCTTGGCCTTTTCTCAGGTGCGAGAACACTGACAGATTCGTAGAACCTACGGCGCCAGAACCTCGTCACAAATTGCTTATTGTGACGTTATACAGGTGAGTAATGGTCGCCAAAGGCCATTTGATGCTGGAAGCAAGGCGGCGAGGCCCCATAGGAAGGGTACCGGTACGGTAGTTGGAAAGTTCGGTGGACCGAGATAATCCCGGCAGCCCATCACGTTCAGCCCATCACATTCAGCCCCGCCATGCTCGCGTCCCTTTGACGTGTGAGGAAGTGATTTTGTGGACGGATTCGACAACAGCTTTGGGTTTGGGTTTACAGTTGCCAGACTGTCTTGCTAGTTCTTCTTACGATGCAAATCCACTGCTGACCCCTGTTCACGTTTTCACACAATGGCATCACTGGCATCACATACCGGTAGGTACCATGATGCGATGTAGCCCCTCCAGATCGATCCGCCCATTCTCGTATTTCTTCTGTCCCTCCGTTAGCATGACACCATCAGCAAACCAGCACCAAAACGGGCAGTTGATTACTCCCACCCCCCTTGGCGCCCAGGCAAAGAGCAAGGAAGAATCTTATCAGATGCGATGCGATTGATAAGATAATCTACTCAAGGCTTTTGCGGTATCCAATCAGGATGCTCCACCGACGTTGGGGCACATCATGTGGGATCGCGTAGCAGCGCCGACTGTATCGCTTCAAAGTTTCTAACGCGGGTTTGGACGAATTGGCGGTTCCGATGACGGATGGCTCGGTCTGAGCCGGAGGAAGGATCATGGGTGGAGTGGGAGGGCTGAAGGGGATGAGTATATGTGACTCTTGTTTCCCCTCGTCTCTCTCTCGCTCCACTTCAGTGCCTTCTTTCTGGTCGTTGGGTAACGTTGCCACAGCAGTCAAGATGGGTTCTATAGCTGAGAAAGAGATTGCAACGCTCAACAGCCTCGCTGCGCAAATCAGCGAGCTGGCGGCCAAAATGACCAAACAGCTTGAAGCTGCCAAAGTACCTCCAGTCAGCTTGGAAGCAGACAGTCCCATCAAATACGAAACCTATCCCGACGGCTTCTTCATGAACCGCCAGTTGCTCGAAGACGCGCTCAAGGACATGTGGATCCTATCCCAAGGACCGAGCGAAAGTGTCTACAACTACGTACACATGGCCATCCCAGATGCCTCCTGCCTCAACATCCTCAACCAATTCGACTTCTGGCACGCCGTCCCAGTAAACGGATCCGCCACCTTTGAAGAAGTCGCAAAACACACCAACCTCCCCGTCGAAGTCGTCCACCGCGTCCTCGACCACGCAGTCACCATGCGCTTCTTCGCCAAACCCACACCAACCTCCACCTCCGTAATCCACACCTCGCGCTCCGCCGCCCTCGCCAAAGACACCGGCCTCTCCGCCCTCGTCCAAATGGTCCTCGACGAAACCGGTCCCCCAATGTTCAAACTCCCCGAAGCCCTCCGCCGCTTCAGCCAGGGAAAGCAAACCCTCACAACCGACATGACGCAAACCGCCTTCAAACTCTGCCACTCCGGCGGCATCTGGGGCGACTACGCCAACAGCTGGGACCTGATTGAAAACGACGGGGTCGGCGCACAAAAGGGCTGGCGTCAACGCAACTTTGTCAAATTCATGGCCTACATCAAAGACCTCTTCCACACCGAATCCCTCGTCCTCGACGCCCTCGACTGGGCCTCCCAAGGCCCCACCGTCTCCGTCGTCGACCTCGGCGGCTCCGCCGGCCACGACGACGCTGTCCTCGCCCGCACCTTTCCAAACCTCAACATCGTCGTCCAGGATCTCCCCCAAGTCGCCCCCGTCTTTGCCCGCGAATTCCCAGCCGACCTTCGCAATCGCGTCCGTTTTCAAACTCACAACCTCTTTGATACCCAGCCCGTCGTTGCGGACATCTACATGCTCAAATGGATCCTGCATGACTGGCCCGACGCCGAATCCGTCGCTATCCTGCGTGCCCTCGTCCCGGCGCTCAAGCCCGGTGCGCGCGTCCTGTTTATCGATTATGTGGGTAAGCAGGATCCCGTCGAGGGTGAGGATTTGCCGCGCAGTATGCGTGGGTTTGGCACGGCGACGGATCTGCGCATGATGGCGCTGTTTAACGCCAAGGAGAGGCCTGTGCAGGCGTGGAAGGAAATCTTTAGGCAGGCGGATGCTCGGTTCGAGGTTGTGAGGGTTGAGGCGGATCCGTTGAGTTTCATGTGTGTGCTGGAGGTTGTTTGGAGGGGGTGAGGGGTTTTGATCCAATGGTTGGGGGAGGGGGAAAAGGAAACTGGACATAGTGTTTGGTGTAAATTGATGGAATGAAAGGAACTATGCATGTCCTGTCTCTATTATCATGACTTTGGTGGATACAATCGACGTCTGCCTCGATCTAATCGTCCTCTATACTCGCCTCATTATATGCAGTATGCAGTGTCCATATGATACCCACGTCCACCTCATCAAAATCAGCAATTCATCATCCTCACATATCGCCCATGCTCATCTCATAAACAACACAAGATCTGTCTCCCCACAAAAGAACGCCAGTTCGATGCCGCAAAGAAATCATGCACAACAACTCAGCCCCCAAAACGTACCCCAGTACATGTCTGCCCATTCCCTTTACTACTTCCGTCGAATCAACTTACTCAAACCAGACTTGCCCTCCTTTCCCTCCTTCTCCCTTGCATCCTCCTTTGCGCGCTCATCCTTCGTCGGCACGCGCGGCTGCTCCGCAAACCGAATACCCGGTGTACGGGGCGGAGAAAGCGGCCCTTTTGTCTTTGCCTTTGCGTCATGGGTCCCACGTCCCGTCTCAAGGGGATCGCCCGTCTCCTCGTCCTCGGAATCTGATTCCGGTGTTTGTTGGCCACCTACGCCTAGGGCGCCGAGCCGGCGGCGACGTTCTGCCGCAGTTTCTCCCTCAAAAGCGTTGTCGTCTGGGGCCTTGGGAGAGACGGGGCGGCGCTCGGAGCTGGTTGGTGGCGGGGGGGATGAGGATCCTTGGAGAGCTGCGAGACGGCGGCGTCGCTCTGCAGGCGTTTCTTCGTCAGAGGATTGATCTGCTGCGTTTTCTTTTCGGGAGCCGACTTGTGTGGAGGACGAGTGTTGAGAGGCAAGACGGCGGCGACGCGCTGCTGCAGTTTCTCCGTTCCCGCCCATGGAGTAATCTGCAAGATCTTGACGGACAGAGTGGAATGGTACATCCTCGTTATTGCTGTCGACCAATGTCAGCCCTTCGGGACCTCGGGTACGGCCTTCGCGTTCTGCGGCTGGCGATTCAATCTTTTGAATCTCGGCCTGGCCTTCTTCGCCGACAATTGGGGGAACATTGGCTTTTGAAGCTGCACCGCGGCGCTGAGCGTCAGTGAGATCCTTTGCATCTTCCTGTGCGGCCGTCTTGACAGCCTCGGGCGCGTTGCTGCTTTGGACGAATTTGGCGCGGTCCTTGGGATTCATCTGGGCCATTTGCTGGATGAATTCCAGTTTGCTCATCCGGCGCCCACCAGCCGTGACCGTGAAGCGAAGGCGATCGTCATCTTCCTCTTCTTCCGGCTTCTTCTTCTTCTTGCTCTCAGTAGCCCCGGTACCGGAAGGTCCTGCATCAGTATGTTGCGGCACACCCATGTGTGTTCCCATCCGTTTCAGACTCTGAATGGCACGGCTCGAAGTCTCAACCATCGACTGCCCACGCTGAGCTGTCGGACGTCCATCTTTACCAGCCTTTGGCGCGCTTGGAATGTCGTACTTCTTGATTACCTCGCCGTCCTCGTCTTCTACAATAATGGTGTTACCAAATTGATACGCGAGAGCTGGTCCACGCTTTTGCTCGGGCTGCTTGGACTTCGAGGCCTGCTTCTCCTCGCCATCGTTGTGGTGATGGCCAGAGAAACTTTGCATGCGTTTCCGCCAAGTTTTGTGAGGATGCTCGACGGCAGTCTCAATCTTGCCTGGAGCTTCCTCGAGCGGGCTACCATGTTCCTTTTGTGCAACACCGTGCTGTACGTCTTCTTCTCTGAGGAGTTCCATTGCTCTCTCACCGTCGTGCTGCCTCCTTTGCGCGCCGTGTTCCCCGTGACTATCTCTGACACCCAACACATTGCCTTCTTCATCCTCGATGACAGTATTGTTGCCTTCTTGGAAAATCTCACCCTCTTTCTCTGGAAGCTGCTTCATCTTCTCTTTACCGTTGGAGGAACTATCACTAGTAGAAACCGCCATGGCATCACCGAACGCATCGTTGCCATCTGTAGGTGTGGCTTCTCCCTTTTCCAAGTCAAGCCTAGCAATAGGCCCAATGGCAGACTGAGAGATGGGTCCACCAGGACCTCGCCCAGCATCCCAGCGTCTTCGTCGAGTTCCGGGGCCCCGAGAGTTGGAACGAGAGTTGGAGCGACTTGCACTATCCTCCTCCTTTTGGCGTCGCAGGAACCCACCTGCGAATCCATTTCCAGCAGGACCTTCCGACTTTTCGTCCAAAGAGGTTTCAGAGCCGCGTCGACCCATGGACGATCTCGATCGGGATTGAATCCTCGGTAGACGGTCCATCCAGCCAGGTCCATCCTCGTTGGCTTGTGTGTATGACATGGAAATGGTCAGAGTATTGATACGCTTGCCAAGGGTGAAGACTGCAATACTACTGCCATGTACCAGGATACTGACAATGACCAAAAAGCAGGTAATCGGCCAGATCATTTCGATGATATTGAGGTGCTCGAAGCCCTCGGGAGGCAGTACAGCCAAAGGCGTCGTCGTCTCGGTTTCCAGTTCAGCCCGTGCAAGAATAGCCACAAACAAGCCACCAACGCCGATGGGCCCAAAGTGGCCAGCAAAGGATGCCTCGCGCCACGTCTTGATGTCTGGAATGACGGGTTTGAGCATAAGCATGATCGGTAGACGTCGGAAGAAGAGAACCAGGAGACCCAGAACCACCAGACGCCATGGGGAAAGGCCAATGATCTCGGGTGAGTTGAACTGGTTCCACGGGATGATGGCCCCAAAGTAAACAAAAAATGCCAAATTGATGAGCAAATCGATGACGTTGGACACATGGGATTCCTCCGTCTTCTCCAAGAACCATCCGTCGTTGGAAAAGCCGACGCCGCAGGCGAATCCTACGAGTAAGTCGTCCAGACCGAGCAGCGAACCGGATCCGGCACACCAAAGTGCGAGGACAAAGTAAAACACAAGAAAACTCTCGCGATCTATAAGGTCCTTCTCGTGAGCGTAGCGAATAGCACGACGAGCTGCGTATCCAATGACGACTCCGTAGACAGCACCAAACAGACACTCGTAAAGAACGGTGTAGCAGATCCAGTGGTAGGCGACCTTGGAGGCATCCGGACGGTAGCGAATGAGGTAAACTGCCAGGTAGACAAAGGGAAAGGCCATGCCATCGTTGCATCCAGATTCGGCGGACAAAAGATCTCGCAAATGCTTGGGAACACGCTTGGCGAATTTACCTTTACCAACCACAGAGGAGGCCAAGACTGGGTCGGTAGCGGTGACACAGGCCGCGATACACAGACTATCTAGCCAGTTGAGATGCGAATTAAAGAGACCCCAGATGAACAGGCTGGTAATCAGCCAGCCAAACGTCATGACCGGGATGAGCAGCAGTGTCACCGACTTCCAATGCTTCTCCATGTACGCCCTCGGCAATTCAACGCCAACAGCAAAACATTGCACGACCAAGACGATGCGCGAGAATTCCAGAGTGATCAAATCGACGTTGCCCCATGTTCCTGGATCTATGAGATTGGCGGCATGGGGACCGAAAATGATGCCGCAAAGAGTCGCAACCGTGGCTTCACCAATGTACAGACGCTCCTTGATGACAGAGGAACACAACATGAACAGACTGGTGAAGCCGCCCAAGATGATGTACACCAGATGGGGCTTGGTGATGGAGAGGTGGTCCCAGGCCATTGTGATTGGTGTTGGATCCCTGTGGTGTGTGTGGGGATCTCCTAAGCAGGCTGGAATCCTGCAAGCTTGTCGAAAAGCTTATACGGCAATTCTGATCCGACAAAAGAATATTTCGCAATCTAGTTCGGTACGTGTTCAGTCAGTCGGAGCGGTGGTCTTGGTAGCGAATGCACGCTAGGTAGGCAGGACAGAGGCGTCGGGATCGCGCTGTCTGGAATGTCGGCCGCAGGAGGAGAAAGATCGAGCCAGACTTTGATGCATGTATAGTCGGATGCGCCCAGTCGCCGCTCCCAGTGTGCCCTATGTGGCTGATGCTGTGTTGTAACAAGGATGGAGAGGTAGATGTTGGCGGAAAAGGCGATGCGGGTACGGTAGAAGGGGGGGAATTGTCTAAAGCTGGCGGTTTAGAGCCGTGGTGGATTGGAGAGAGTTGCGAGATATCAAGCGATGCCGAGCAGCATCTTGTGCAGAAAGGATGGAGCTTACCTGACGACTTTGTTTGTGCTGGGCGCAGGCTCTGCAAAAGCTTGGAAAGCGCGAGGTTTCGACGGGCGCAATCGAATGGCAGCTGAGGCCCATCAACGGTTGCTTATAGCCGGACGTCGTTGCCGTCTTGGTGTTGGGATCGGAAGAGAGATCTAGGCCAGACAATTGATTGGCCGCGCCGACGTTCTGTAGTTAGGCAGAGCAAGTTGCAGCCAGCTCAGCAGCTCTGCTCGTGGGCAGATGCTGGCGGGCAATGGGGCGTGAAAGTCGCAAGAGATGGGCGGGAAGAGATAAGCGGCTTGGAAGGGCTTGGCTTACGCATATCAGAGCTACTCTTGAAGTACCGGTAGTCTCCACGCCACCGTTGAGTTCAAACGGTCTTTGCAGCCCGAAGCCGACATGTTTCGCCCCGTGGGCGACTACCGTCTGTTGCGCTGTAGGAGTACTAGGAGTAGATAGGATGTAGACTGGAGAGCACCCTGTCTGCAACTGTTGTTTTTGGGCCCTTTGGGCTGAGGCCTGAGAAGAAAGACATTACTCTAGAGTAGGTACCGGTAGGAGTACACACAGGACATGAGGGCGCGCGGAGACAGCTGGACCCCGATTGGAGAGAAACCAAGGGAATGCTGTGCACTCTCGGGCAGGCTCCCACCTCCTCTGCCGCGCCAGCCAACAAAGGTTTCGCAGACAAATGCCACGAGGCCCCAGATGGGTAGTCAACATGTGCATTCAACTTTGCTCTTGGGAGCCCGTCAAAGGCGGGGCAATGTCTTGTCCATTGGCGTGGGTCCATTGCAAGATGCGGATTCTCCATCTTACCGTACCTATCTGACAAAGACACCACGCTGCACTGGTTTGGCCACATGACCGCCACACATTTCGCATTGTCATTATCGTGGGGAGGGGGGGGGGGGGGGCGCACATGTAGGTGCACGCATGGATGCATCGCAAAGGTTTTGGACTCATCCGAGTGTACCATATACGAATACCTACTGCCTATGGTATAGGCAGGTAGAGTCACGAGTACAATCGGAACCGCTGCTGCCCGGAGACGATAACGTACGCGTTGGAGGACAAGGTGGAGTCGAGTCGAATGACAAGAGAGGAGAATGTTAAAAAGACGCAGTCCATCATGGATGATCACGATCACCTCTCACCTCTTTTCCCTGGCTGGCGTGGGCAAGGGTGCAGGTGCAGGTGCAGGTGCAGGTGCAGGTGGGGTAAAACACCACCTCACACGAAACCGCAGCCAAACCCATAACCAAACCCCACGATAGCGCCAAAGTCCCAAAGCAGAAAACAAGCAGAAAACAATCTCAACACACTTGAACAAATGCACCACAAACCAAACCCCCACTGACTCTTGCACTCCGCACCATACCTATCCCAGCTCTCTCTCGATGCACGCACACACAGTACTTGTATCCATCTAACCAGAAGAAGATCATCACGACACCTAGACAAGCACGAATATGTCCCTAAGCCTCGTACCGGTAACACATTGTACGTACTGTTACTCCTACTCATACCAGTACATCCCATGCACCTGCCCCTCACCAGATCTCATCATCCCCATCCCCATCCCCATCCCCTCCCATCTCACCCAAGACGATCCCCCCAAACCCACCAAGAAAAATGAGGCTGACACCACAACCCCAACCTACCAGCCCAGCCCGACCCCACCCTGCCCAACACACCGCCAGCGACACGGGAAGAAGAAGGAAATAAATCTCCACATCGGCACCGTCGTATCACCTCGTCAACCGCACCGCCTCGCTGCCTCCTCAGGCATCACCGCAACTTTTCCACCTTGACCCCTACCGTACCTGGCTGAAATGAGGCGACGCTGATGCCGACACCGCTGGGTGGTAATGCACGCTGCGTAGGTAGGTGTCCGGCGTGGTGGAGGATAGCGCTGGTGTCAGATCTGGCCAAGTCTGGTCAAGTCTGGGTACGGCTATTATTGTTGTTGTTGTTGTATACACACTACAGTAGGGGTATCGCAGCTAAAGTTAGAGACCAGGCCGCTATTTCCCCAAGGTTCATCCCGAGCCAGACAGCGGTAAACAACAACGCCGTGGGTCGAGCGGGAATGCGGATCGCGTCATCGATGGGAGTGGTGAAACTGGGTTTGGTTGTTTGGTTGTGTGTGCTGTGGGTTTGGTTTGGTTTGGTTTGGTGGGTGGTAAAGGGGGTTGTTGGATAGGAAAGGAGATGGATGGGTGTGTATGAGGGGGTGGAAGCATAATCGAAATATCGTATCTCATCGTATCTCATTTAATACTATCCCATCCCATCCCATCCCATCCCCTCCAGCCAACCAAACCCCCCTTTCCAAACTATCCCGCATCCCCATTAGCTCACCATAATACCTGCCGTACCTACATACATACTCGCCAACCAACTCTTCCCCCGGAACTTAAAAAAAACAACCACCCCAAACCATGCCAGCACGGCCACATGCCAGATACCCAAACCCCTGAACCCTGACCGTTGGGATGCGGTTTCAAAACAAGGGGGGGGGAGGGGAGGGGGATATCCTGTGCGTGTAAGCGACATACACGAAAGGTCTTGTGGAAAATGAAGCACGCGACAGCGACACTGAGGGGCTTTTTTGATCATTTTCTTCGTGAATGTGGTGGGCGAGGAGGACAGGAGAGAAGTTTGTGTCAACAGTGAAAAAGCACGTCACGTCACGTCACGTCACGTCACGTGTGCACGCGATAAAAACGTCAAATATATGAATGATGTTCCCTTTAGAAAAAATCAAAGGTCCATTGTATGTACCAACTAGGCATCAAAGCAAAGAAAAGCCCATGGTGCCAAAGCAGCAGCATGCCACAGAAAAAAAAATCCGGTATCACGGGTCATCCAACGCCCTGGAACCCCTTCGCTCTAGGTATGTAGCCTGTAGGTGTAAAGTAATCGTTGAGAAGACAAGAAAAAAACTTTGGTGGTATGCAACGGTGCTCGTAATCATCCCTTCAACGCACTACATACACAAACGCATGCGCCATTTTTGGACAAAAGAAAAGGCCGGGAGGGGGTGCGCGAGATTCCTGGCCGGCCGAAATACGAGCGAAACTGGGTTGAATAGGGATGAGCTTGGCCTGTGTCCTGTATAGATCTTACCCCCGGCTGGACAAACAACAACAAGAAAACGAAAATGTGATGCGATCGATGATGGAACCGTATGGAAGAGGTATCTGAAAAAACAATGCACCTTCACTCCACATCCCATGACCCGCTTGAAAAGAAAACGTCAAAAATGTTCATGTGTATGTGTGTGGGGAATCGATGCGAGGAAGGATTTGAAGAAGAAGAAAATGTACAATAGCAAACATCAAGGTGGCCATGGTAATGATGTCGTCATAAGTGCGAGGCGCGAGTCATGGAAGTCTCAATGACCAACGGGTAACCATGTTCGTCGCTCGTCCATGCTTCTTGCTGTACGACCGCCCGGTGTCAAGGGTATCTCGACACGGCCACGGTCGTTGCGCTCGAGATCGCTGTCGTCATCGTAGGCGGATAAGCGGGAGAAGTAATCTGCAAGTCCGTTTGTCGGGGATGCAATCGTTTCGTAGAGCGGGGGTGGTGTCTCTAGAGGTGGTGGGGGCTCCTCGTCTGAGAAGGCCGGAGGGTTGAAGGAGGGTACTCGCAAGAGGTGAATGGGTCGTTGTACAGCGGTGTCGGTCGGCCCTCCAATGTGCGCTGCTTGCGGGCGCGCAAGAGCAGGTGTCGCGATTGTCGCATCTGAATTGCCTCTTGAGCGGCTCAAGGAGCTTAGTGTGGGCACAAAACCGGTAGGTGACGCGCGTCGAGCCGGTGCATTTGGACACCCGCAGTCGGGTATTAGCGTCCTGCTCATCGCTGGTTCAGGCGACGAGTATGCGGGTAGCGCTGTGTTTGCCTGGGTCGCTTGACACGAAAGAATGTGGAAAGGTGAGTCAATGGAAATCTCAAAATGCCTCCTCTTGGTGGAATCGACGGCGTCAGGTCTCGAAAGGCGCATGACAAGCTGCGAAATGTTAATTGGGTTGCAATCTCATGGATTGCTCAAACATACCTTGATCCAGTGATGCACTTGGATATTTTGGTACGTTGTGTCAAAGTGCAATCTTGATTGCTTGTCTTTGTCTTTCATGTTGTGACAGCTTGGCAGCTGCACATTAAATTCCATTTCCGTGGGACCGATGTTGTCGTCACCACCAAGGTCACCCAGCAGATTGGTGGGATCTGCCACCTGCACGTCCTCGCCTCGGGATGCCGCAGCTCTCTGGTCGTAAGGCACTCCGCCGCCAGATACGATTCTCATCGTGCTACCAGGGAACGTACTTGTGGGCGGGCTATCTGCTCGTTTTTCAAAGAGCTGCACTTTGCGGACAGGTTCCATACGATGCACTCGCTTGTTATTGCAAAAGTATTCAACATTCTCTGTGACGAAGACCTTGATCCGATGACATTGGACCTTGGCAAGCGGCGTCAGCTTGAAAGCGATGGGAACCTGTGCACCGAGCGGAAACGATTTGCCTGAAATCACGATATCGTAGTGTAGCTGATCCTCCCAGCTTCTGCTGATTGCTATGGGCTCCACTTGCTCCAGAGAGCCTTCTGAAGGTGCACGAATGAGTTGAACTTCTTTGGTGCCGACCAAGTTTGTGCGGAAAGCTCCAGCGCGTTCCACGATGGCTTCGAGTTCGTACTTGACAGAACCGAGGTCTACATCAATAGTTTCCGGAAGATGACTATCAAGAGGTAGTTCGAAGTTGTACATGTACTCGCCCGCGTCGAAGGTTCTGTATCCCTTCTGTGCTACTGAAGGTCCTCCGGATGGGGTTTCACCCTTGCCGAAACTGCGTGATTGGTTGACCTGTAATGACAATCGCTTCACTTCTCTCGAGGTCAAGTTCAGAGATGAGTTGTTTGGCGAGTTGGTGATGTTGCTATTGTTCTTGCAGAGTTCTACGCAATCTGCGCCAGTGCCATACTCGGCTGTCGGGAATTGCGAGTTGAAGAATGGCCATGTGTGGCTCATCAAGATGTCCACCTCCTCAAAATCGACCTTTTTCGGTGGGATACCTTCTGGCCATTTCGTCGTCGCTTTTCCACGGAACTTCAGCGTGACTGCCTTGAGTTTCGAGGGTTTGGCAATCTTCAAGACCAAGGATCCCCGTAACATAGCAGTATTTCGCTCAGCATACTCGGCTTGTTCAAATCCCCTCAAGAACAAAACAGGTTCAGTGAGTTGAATGTTGACGCTGACGCCGCCCCCCGAAGCCACTGGCTTCTCCTCAGGCATGCTCTTGACACTGGTCATCGTACTTTTGGTCGAAGTTCGGCCGGAGGACCAAGTCGGTTCTACGGCTGGCGGCCGGGGGATTGCTGCTGCAGCCAGAGTATTGCCAATGACGCTTACTGCTCCTATTGCACCGACAGAGTTCCTCTGACTGGATCTCATTTCGCCAGGGTCCCGTTCAAACAAGACTGAGGCGATTGAGTTTCGGTTGCTACTGCTCGTGGACGATCGCGGCGTGACTGTGGCGGGGAGATCTTGATTGGGAGAGAAACGGGAGTCGATGAAGGAACGAAGGAAACGTTTCGCGCTGTCGCGTGGGGTCGCCAGCTTTTCGGTGAAGTACGACTTGCTGGTCGTCTGCCGCTTTTGACAACGATATAGAGTCGGGTCGGGTCCGACGTGTGCGATGTGAATGCGGTGCGGTCGTCGATTGCGTGCTTGAAAGATGCCTCGATTGGAGCGGGTAGGGTCCTTGAGGTGGTCAGGCACGTAGCGTAAACGGCCGCGGTCAGAGTAGACCGTGCGGTATTCTGTCATGGCGATGAGTGGTATTAGCAGCGTTCAAAGACACGACGTTGAGCGGCGGTGATGTCAAGGCATGAAGTGGAGGCGGGCAACGAGTTATAACAGGGCGAGAGGAAGTGGAACGCAAGTTATAGTTTCTTGTGCGACTCTCTACAGTCATGGGAGGAGTACAAAGGGCAACCTTGCAAAGGTAACATAACCATACCCCAGGTGTGTTCCAGAATTGGCAAAGGAGCAGCGCAGGTGGAAGCCTTGCAAGACAAAGGGCCCAAACGCGGTGAGGTAAATGAGACAGGGACTCACGCGATAGGAGGAGCTAATAAGACCTGGTGGGCGGGCATGCGAATGCAAAGATGAAGCGCAATCAGCGACGAGAGCAGCGGTATGGGGGGGAAGTGCTTCAAGTGGAGCGACTAAGAGGCCGATGTGACGGAAGCGTGCGGGAATCCCCTGCTGTGGCAGCCTGTGGGGAATCTGCGTTGGCCTTGGGTGAGGAGGGCTGTCAGGACGGTTATCCGGCGAATCGCAGGGACCACGGGTGTTTTGACGTGTGCCCAAGCTAGCAAGCAGGCATGGTGCAAGTTCGCAGTCAGACTACTCTAGGCCAGGGCGCACACAGTTGGTCCAAGGTACAGTACCAGCCTGACCAGGGCGCTCGGCGGATGACGCGGAGAAGTGAAGCTGGGTGGGGAGTGGGGTGGAGTGCAGTGCAGTGCAGTGCAGTGAGCGGCGAGCAGTTGAGCAGCGAGCAAACGGATATCCAGAAAGGTGAGGTGAAGAAAATTGCCCGAAATGGATTCGCAGCTGCGGGGACGGGCGACGATCAGGCGAGTTAACAAGTGCAATAAGTAATGTGTGCGTCAAGAAGGTGTGTATGTGTGTGTGTGTGTGTGTGTGTGTGTGACTGTGTGGCTCGAGGGGGACGGGGGAGGCGGGGGGGGGGAGAGAGAGAGTGGGTGCAGTCTGCGGTGTATCAAAGGAAGATTTTCGGCCAAAAATCTCTCGACGGCGGATATAGTCATCTTCTAAGCGTGTGTAATAAAGAGTCGTGCGTAGAGTAGTCGACGTCGAGCGGAGGGTCGGATGCATTACATCACCGCCAGCCCTTCCCAAAGGCTTTGCTGTCCAAGACGTCGACAGTCTTTGCAGGGCCGATGGTTCCAGGCCCGTTGCAGACTAGCAAGCCACTCCGGCATCCTCGGCAAGCTGCTGTGATCGACTGAGCCTCGTGTGCATCGTCAGAAAGACAAAAGAGAGCGAGAGCGAGAGCGAAAAGGGCGATGATGGCTTTGAGCCTATAGGCCGCCCTGGTTGCCCATGGTGAGCATGAGCTAGCCCTCGAACTTGGTCGGAAAGCAGTCAACGCAACCAGCGCTAACCCTTGGAAGACGGCGACGAGCTCAGGCAGGACTCAGCAAGGACAGAAGAGGAGATGAGGGTGGTGAGGGTGAGCATTGAGAGCCCAGACCTGAGATTGATTAATTCCAGGACTTGGGGAGGCCAAGTCGGCCTGCGCCTGGGTGCTTGCGCACACACATCATACTACCGGTCCAACTATGTACATGGGCACATACACACACACACACACACACACGCCTGGCCGCGCACCCTGATGAGATTGATTTGCAAGACGGTCCATCCAAGTATCCTGGCGCAGTCCCCAGTGGCAGTAGGGGTATGATCATTGATCCACCCCTTCCTGGCTACTAAGAGTATTATTTCCTGTTTCTCCGCGACAATGCAGCCCAAGTCTAAAGCATGCACGCACCAGAGAAGGAAACACATGGACTGGTTGGCAGTTGGCAGTTGGAGCTTGCATGTAGAGTACTTGGGCATTCGCATGCGGTTGGCACATGGCGTTGGCAGCATTGGCGGGCTTACTCTACAGACAGACCGAACTGCAGGCCGCTTACTCTACACACCTACTATAAGCCTACACAGCCAGCCAGCCAGCCAGTAGTGAGTAGTACTGTGATGGTACACCAGCGGCCAGCCCACGAGATGGCAGCAAGTGTGGCTACTTTGCTTGTTTGGACTAAACCTCCAATATGATAGAGGGCCCCCCCAATTGCGCAAAGATCGGCCCCTGGGCCGGCTCAATCTGGACTATATACCTATCCAAGTACACACGTACAGTAACAAGGCACTTTCATGGCTGTACATATGGAATGCGTCATGGCCAGCTCACCGCATCAAGACCGTGGAGGATTCGAGACCATGTGGTTACCGCTACCAAGTGCAATATCTCCGAATCTGTGACCATCAGTCGCCGCCGCGAGTAGGTACGTCGTGTTTGCTTCATTCTGCGCCGGGCGGGGAAATAGTCGAGCAAGTTCCGGTACATCGGTAGGTAACCGGGACATACAGTACACTGACGACGATATAAAGTATTGGTCGGTGTACCTAACATGGACGAACCATGGCGACAAGAAAATCTCTGCCCTGGCGTGCATCTTGGGTTGTGGGCTGTGGATCTCGTGGAGAGGATCCTCCTGATCGCCCATCGAGGACCCAAGTGTTGCAGGGTGCCGTGTCGTGTGCCACCTATTCCCAAGTTGGACAGGCTGTTGTTGTGGCTTGGCTACATTGGAACTGGGAACATGATGGATGACGGGAAGGTTGGGGTCTTGAGCACGTGATGACAGTGTGGCGCAGCACACACGTGACTTCGCCCCCTCCAGGCCGGGGGCCAGGTTCCCCGCAACGCGTGCGCCCGCGAAAAGACAAGAGGCAAGGCGAGGCTTTAGCTCGAAGACGCGTTCTGGCTTGGTCGGCTGGGCAAAAGGGCAAAAGTACACACACCACATGTGCGCCAACCACGGCCATGGACGCGACAACAGATCGAGGCTATGGTACGTCTGATGGCCTCATGGGACTATAGTGATCGTGATGATGGCTGATGGCATGCTCACAACACACACAGGGACAAGCCAGCTGCCCCTTGCCGGCGCGGTGCTCTGCTGCACCGCAATCGCCCATGAGCTGCGTGTATGTTCTGCTTTCACTGTTCACTGTCTCTGGATCTGACGCTCTTTCAATCTAGACACAACTCGCCACCATCGGCGCGCAAATGGGCGCGACCATCATGCTCGACCTCACCTCCGACGTAACCCACCTCATCGTCGGCAACACCGACAGCGCCAAATACCGCTATGTCGCCAAGTCTCGCGAAGACGTCAAGGTGCTCTCACCCGCCTGGCTGGAAGCGCTGCGACAAGTCTGGATGCAAGGACATGACCATGTGGATGTCGCTGCGCTGGAACAGGAATACCGCCTGCCAACTCTGTTTGGCCTGAAGATTTGCCTGACTGGCTTTGACAACCGTAGGGAGCAAGTGTCGCATTCGACCTGGCAAGACTGACACATGGCAGCGGAACATCGACGGTACATTCAGGAGACGGTGGACAACAACGGGGGCGAGTACCATGGCGACCTCACCAAAGCCGTCACCCATCTCATCGCCGCCGCACCCTCTGGCAAAAAGTACGATTATGCGCTGAACTGGCACATGAAAGTGGTCTCATTGGAGTGGTTTGAGCAGAGTCTAGAGCGCGGCATGATACTCGACGAAACTCTCTTCCATCCGACTCTGCCCATTGAAGAACGAGGCATAGGCGCCTGGGACCGCCAGTCGACGACACCAGTCTCCAGAAAACGGTCACTGGACCCAGACCCAAGCCAAGCCCTGAATCCTTTCCGACGCAAGCTACGACGCTCTGCGAGCACCAAGTTTGGGAACCAGAGCGATGCATTGTGGGCTGGGATTACGGCAGTGAGCATGGAAAGAGAGCAAGATGATGGGGATGATTGGACGGAGCACAGCACGATTGAGCAGGGTGACTCAAATGCCCATACAACAGCCTCTGTTGCAGGCGGCGTGCCTACTGTCGAGGACTCTACTTTATATTCCAATCCCATAGATGCACCTGCGTCACCCTCGGACGTGCTGGCACAGGGACGCTCTTCCAATGGGTTATTTGAAGGAAGAACCGTGTGTCCCTTTGGTTTTGACAGTGAGAAAGTAAGTCATACCCAGGTTATCCTCTCGCTAGGGCTGACGATTCCGCCAGACCGATATTTTACGCCAGCACCTGAACAGTCATGGAGCCCGTGTCCTCTCCACCAGTGATGTCAACAATGCAACATCTGATGAATTATCACGCGGCTTTCTGATAGTACCGCATGATGCGGAGGTTGACTACACGCCGATTGCCGAGCGCGCCAAATCACTCATGAGTATAGTGAGTAACTGGTGGGTGGAACGCTGTCTATATGGCAAGCGCCTAGTCGACCCGGCCGATGATGTGCTAAGTCGACCGTTCGGAAAGCTTAAAGTTTCTGGTAAGTTGGCTCCGCTGTCGATCCCGTTTTGGCTGCACTGACGTCGCAAGGTTTCTCGGATTTGTCAGTCAACTCGACTGGATTCGCCGGAATTGAACTTCTCCATGTGACCAAAGTAGTTGCATTGTTGGGTACAGAACTTGATCCGATGAATGTAATTGGCTCTAACGTTGACAGGTGCCGTCTATGACGAACATCTTTCTGCAAAAACTTCGGTCATAGTTTGCAACTCCACGGGAGCAAACTCACAAAAACTCAAGTTCGCAGCGGAGAAGCGGATCCCGGCTGTGACATCTGCATGGTTGTCGGATTGTATACGTAACTGTCGTTTGGAGTCGTACGATGATTATCGATGCAACACCAGTGCGACTCCCCAGATTCGAGATGCAAAATTAAAACCACGTACCTCTATGGATGCGCCGGTAGGTGCCGGTCTCGAGGATAGCAGCAGCAAACCGCGCCACAACAAACCACAATCTGCGAAGATAGTATCGAAACCCCCAGTGTTACGAAGACCACGTACTCTCGAGCTGGCGCCGTCAGCTGATGCTACATCTACGGACGCCTCCAACAAGTCGACGCCTGACCAACAAGACGATTCTACACTTCCCAATCTGGACGGCCATGCATCCCTACCCCTCCAACACATCAGCGCCAACTCCCCCCGGCGCCCCTCCACATCCTCCGCCTCGCTGAAATCCGCCGCGCGCGCACGCAGTTCTTCCGCAGAGTCCCTGATCCGGGCCGTCCCAGCCCCAGCCCCCAAAAACCAACGCACTTCAACCACATCCACAACCAAATCACAGCTCCCGCAAAAACCTTCTCCAGACCCCGTGATCCCAACTGCCGACGACTCCCTCGATCCTTCCGAACCCTCCGTTCCGCCACAGCCGCACATTCCGCCCAAGCACGTCTCAGCCGCCGACAAGGATTATTCGGATATCTTGGCGCAGTTACGTGCGAACCGCAAGACTGCGCCTCTGCCTGCTGAAGCGCCGGACGGCCAGCGGCGACGGAGAAGACTGTTGGGCCGTGCGACGAGTACGCGGTCAAACCAGAGTGCAGCCAGTTCCGCGAATGCGACTTCTAATGGTGAGATTTGTCTGGATGGTGAGGGGGAGGAGGAGGAAGAAGATGGTGATGATGGGCTGGCGGAAGAGTATGAGCCCAGTCAGCGGTTGGGGTGGGAAGAGCCGGGGGCCGCCAAGGCGAGAGAGGTTATGATTAAGAGGCTAGGCGGGACGATTAAGGAGAAGAGTGTGGTGGTGCAGGGGATTGGGATGGTTATGGATGAGGAGGTAGAGGTTGGGGGGAGGAGTGTTAGGACGAGGAGGCGGTGATGAATTGCATGATTGGAGTCGTGTTGGATGGATGTATAATGAGCGCGCTGGTTTGTTTTGGATGCACAGCGGAGTTTTGAAGAAAAAGAAAGGCATATAGCGTCGGCGTTGTCGATTCACACTCTGGGTAATCAATCACATACACATATACATGATATTCAATCCCCCCCCCCTAAATCCCATACGTAACCTTCAACCTCCTCTCCAAATGCATCTTCGCCGTCAAACCCTCCCCCTCCCCCTCCCCCTCCCCATCCAACCCCAACCCCAACCTCCTCCTCTGGGGCACTGCTCCAAAGTCTACTCGTGCATATCC